AAGTGCTTGGTTCTGGGCTTTCTATTCCGTTCCTATGATCTATTTGCTTAATCCCATGCTGTTTCCCTATAACTACCCTATTTAGTTGTATCATAAGTGTGTTCTGTATACTTTGATTTTTGTGTGTTGTTAGAAAAGAAAAAACAAGTTAATTGCTTTCTAATTTTAATGCATTGCAATCAGATTAATGCAATTTCAGGCAATGAGCCTTCTATGGACACTTCGAGTTTATTCCTCAGCACCAAAACTCATAACTGCCAGTGTCTGGAGTCTGGTAGGCCCACAGGCCAACAGCTCAGCTCTTCTTACAGTGTTGCCTTGTATGGTCTACGAAGAACTTCATCTTAATTTTAATAGTGTTTTTTTTTTTATATCCCTTTTTATGTATTTTTTTTACTTTCTTCGTGGGGAAGATTGGGAAAGAGCTCAATGTGTAGTATTTTCATAAAAACAATTCTTTTTTAAACTTAGCTAATTACCAACTCTATAAAAATGTTATGGGAAAACATATTCTGAGTGTCCTAAATTTTTAAAAACCTCAAGAGGCTAAAGTCAAGATGAAATTTTTAGCATTAAAAATAATGTTTTTAGTTTCAAAAATTCTGGGTATGTCATGGGTCAGACATTATGCTAGGGGCTTTATGAACATTATTTCATATAACCACATTAGCTCTTTTAAGAAAGTGATATTATTTATATCTACAGAAGAGAATAGGAAAACAGGCTTAAGATGAAATAATTTGCCTGTGGTTTCTGACATCAAAAATATCTATACCATACCTAGCTACCTAACCTAGCTCTTGGTTTACTTCTTAATATTCAAGTTTGTCATTTTATTTACTCTTCCCATCTGTGATGGTTTATATTATGTGTTAACTTGACTGGACCACAAGGTACCCAGATACTTGATCAAACATTCTGAGTGTTAATGTGAGGGTGTTTTTGGATGAGATTAACAAATTGGTAGATGGAATAAAGCAGATTGTCTTCTGTAGTGTAGGTGGGCCTCAGTCAGTTGAAGGTCTGAAACCGTCCCCTACGAATTCTTCTGCCTGATGGTTTTGGATCACTGGCTCCTCCTGCCTGATGAACTTTGAACTAGGACATTGGCTTTACCTGGTTCAACAATAGCTTCTGACCTTTTGACTCAAACTGGGACATTAGCTCTGCAGATTTTGGACTTGCCAACATCCATGATCATGTGAGCAAAATCCTTATAATAAATTTCTTTATATATTTAAATATGTGAATTGATTCTTTTCCTTCAGGACCCTAATATGTCATTCAAAAAGGGAACTAACTTGTTCCTCCAGTCACCCATTGTAGAATATTTGTGCCAGGGACTGTATAATGTAAAATTTTTTTCCAAATCAGTTTTTTTTGAGATCTTTAAATGTCTATAAAAATCACTTGAGCAAATTAGAACTGGAGGTACAGAAACTTGATAGAAGGCTATTGCAAATATCACAATGAGACATGATGTTGGCTCTAACTGAGATACTGGGATAAAAAGTGTATAGATTTAAGAGCTGTTTATTAGAACTAAGGGAGAACGGGGTGACTGATACAGTGGATAAAGGAGAGGGAGAGTCAAAAGATGACTGAACAATTTCTAGGTTAGGCTATTGGTGCCATTCACCAAGATACAATCTAGAGAGGAGATTCATGTGTTGGAGTCCAGATCCATAATGATGTCACTAGAAAGCCAGTGAGATACCCAGATGGAAATGTCTAGTAAGCAGTTGTATGCATAAGTGACAAAGCCAGAAGAGAGAACTGGCTAAAGGCAAAAATGTGGGAGTCATCAGTATATACATGAAGTGGATGAGATTGCCACATTCTATAAATAAAAAGATTTTGAACAGAGTAAATGAGGCTTTTAATTAAAGATTTTCTCTTTGAAAGAGGAACACCTTAGTAAAAATAACCACATATTTGAAGTCTCTTACCAAGGATGTCTTAATCTGTCCAAGTATCAATTCACTCATTATTTTGTTAAGCAGTGAAACGCATGGGCTCACAATTCCAGCTACACACTCCACTTTCCTTTTTGTTCTTGGCCTTTAACTTTATCAGTGTCTAAATTGCAAAAAGCCAGTAATTGCTTTGGGAGAGATTATGAACTACCATGATGAATTAGAAGCTCTTAAACTAAAAATGGTAAAAAAAATAAAATCGAGGTCTTTTTGATATATGTTTTTAGATTTTAAAACAACTGGCTTGACTTGGAGGATTGATTTGAGCTAGAGCATGGTTCATGAGTTTCGGACCAAAATTATATTTGTTAAAAGAGGAAACCTTGATTCAAATCTGGTTTAATCTAGTCCTTTTATTGCACCTTCCATTGAAGCTATTAGGAACTAGTTATGTGGTATGTTAGTAATGACTTACCAAATTAAAGTAAATGGAAATTATATGAGAAGGTAGAAGGATGGAAGAATAAGTGGACTAAGAGTAGACAGGAAACCAGATGGCTTCTAGATCATTTGAAAACATTTTAAATGCTTAAAGTAGCTTCAAATATATTTTGTGTAAATTTACTGAATTTCTAAGACTGTGAAACATAATCATAATTTTGTAGGATTATATTTTATCCTGTTTTTGTGATTATTGTTTTGCTTTTTTGGAAACATTTTCCTGTTGTATTATCTATATTAATAGTAAGATTTAATTAATAATCCTAAAATAATCTCATAAAATAATTTAAGTATATTTTCATTTTTGTAGGCTATAAAAATTATAGTCTAAGCAGTTAAGAATTGAATATTATAAACAGAACTATAGCTTTCTTTCATTTTCTGACTTTTGTTGAAAGTATACCGGTTCCTCATAGAAAACTTATTGGTGTCATTTCAGGTAAGAACAGAAAAGCTCAAAGCAATCCATATTTTTAATGCAATTAAATTCCAGGTAATTTATTTTCAAAAGTAATTACATAATTATATACCCAATAAATATATAAAGATTTTGATTCCAGTATTTTCATATTTCCAACACTTTTGGTATATTTAAAACTACCTGAAAACATTTTATTCCTATAAAGATTTCAAATTATGAAAGCAAAAAATTCCAATATCTCAGTTAGACCAGAGAAATAACTAGCTAAAAAGTTAGTATCTTACAAACTGGCCAGCTGTGCAAACAGAAGGTAAATCCATCTGATGACGACTACTTTCTCCTTAAAGTAAAACATGTACATGCAGACCTTTCCTTCCTGAAGTTAAGGTCCTGAATCAGTGCATTTTAGTTCTTCTTTCTTTTCCTTTCAACTGCTTCATTGAGATCTGACTCACATACCATAAAATTCACCTATTACAAGTGTACAATTCATTGTTTTTTAGTATATTCACAGCATTGTTTATCCATCACTGCAATCAATTTTAGAACTTTTTTCTTTTTTCTCATAAGATACCCTGTACTACTTAAACATTGCCCACCCATCCCCAGGAAAATCTCATCTATTTTTGTGTCTCTATAAATTTGCATATTCTAGACCCTTCATGTAAATCACACAGTGTTTGTCCAAAATGGCTTTTTTTTTTACTTATTTCATATTCATAATGTTTTAGCATGTTTCAGAACTTCACTCATTTTTGTGGCTGTATAATATTCCATTGTATGTATAGACCATATTTTGTTTATCTGTTCATCAGTTGATGGGCACTTGGGTTGTTTCCATCTTTTGGCTACTGTGAATAATGCTGCAATGAAAATTTTCATACAAGTATCTGTTTGAGTCCTGTTTTCAATTCCTTTGGGTTTCTACCCAGGAGTGAAATTGCTGGATCATACAGTAATTCTGTGATGAGCTTTTGAGGAGCCACCAGTTTTCTATAGCAGCTACACCATTTCACATTCCCATCAGCAATGCAGTAGGATTTCAGTCACCACATTCTTGTCAACTCTTGATATCTTGTTCTGTTTTTAAAATAATGGCCCTTCTCATAAGTGTAAATCTCATTGTGGTTTCAATTTGTGTTTTCCTAATGATTAGTGATGTTAATCACCTGTTCATGTGCTTATTGGCCATTTGTATATCTTTTTTGTGGAAATCCACTTGAAGTCCTTGGCCCATTTTAAAAATTGGATTGCTTGTCTTTTTTGTTATGTAGGAGTTCTTTATGTATTCTGGAAATTACACCCTTCTCAGATACATGTTTCTTCAGTTCTGTAGCTTGTCTTTTCACTGTTTTGATAATGTCCTTTGATACATAAAAGGTTTTAATTTAGATGAAGTCCAGTTTGTCTAATTTTTGTTCCTTTTTTTGCTTATGCTTTTGTTGTTATATCTAAGAATCCATTGCCACATCTAAGGCCTTGAAAATTCACTCATCTGTTTTCTTCTTAGAGTTTTATGTCTGATATTTAGGTTGTTTATTTTGAGTTAATTTTAGTATATGATGTGAGGAAGGGGTCCAACTTTTGCATGTAAATAACCAACTGTTCCAGCATTGTTTGTTGAAAAGATTATTCTTTTCCATTTGATTGTTTGGAGTCTTTGTTGAAAATCAAGTGACTCTAAATGTGAGGGTTTTATTTCTGGAGACTCTAAATGTTTATTCTCATTCTAACTTCTCTGATTCACTCCTTCGCGATACTTTTACTCCTCTATTCCAGTCCCATATGATGGTGCTTATTTAAAGCAAAAGGACAACCAGGCAAGAAGTGACAGAGAAGTGCTATTTTAAGTTTATATCTGACCATCCTTTTTCATAGTAATAAATATGTTGCATTGGCTCTCAAGTGTACAGAGACTTGAAGAGAGTTAAGATGAATTTTTAAAATATTCCTGTTTTGCAAACAATCAGACATTTTCTTTGATGCTATTATATTGAATATTCTGGAACCTTAAACCTTTATTTTAAAATGCCCATGATTCTTTCATTTGCTTATGTGCATGGCAGATAAGGCTCTGCTTGAAGTAGGTGGATTTTATATATTCTATTGTAGTTAAACACAGTTTAACACTGCAAATTGAATTTTATACTCTTATTTCTAGGAATTGACTGCAGTGCCATGCACATAGTGGGTGCCCAATAAAAGCATGGTAAGAGTGAATGAATCTTTCTGAAATAGATTTCTCTTAATTTCCTATGCAAAATATATATTAATATATACATATTATCAATATAATTTATTTCCCTTTATAAGGTCATCAGTCACTTTGATTTTTCCCCAATCACTTCACGTCCTTATAGGCTAACTTATTTTAGCCATTATAAATTACAAATTTTGTAGCATTCATTTTATACCAATAATCCGTCATGAAGCATCCCACAGTATTTTCTGGGTAGAAATGGGTTTCAGAGTCCATTATGAATAGGAATTGAGTTTAGTTGATTGAGAAATTAGTGACAATTCACAGGGGTCTGTGAAAAGAGCTGGCTTCATTAACTCAGGTGGCATCTCTTGCAGTGGCCACATTTCTACCCAGAAGAATGATGGAGCATATGTTTTCTGACTTCCTTTGCTGTCAACAGATTTTCTTTGTCTGTAGTTATACCAAAACTGACGGATCATTTCTTTGAATGGTCTTGTGGTTAGAGTATACAGAATTGGATTCAAAGCACTGTTGATAGGCAGAATAAAAATCACTACCCAAGAGGTTATAGTACCTGAAAGAGAAACATGAAATAATTTTGGTGTTATAGATGTTTTTAAGATATAGAAACCCCTTTTCCTCGTTTCACCCCTAAATGCCTTTTGAGACTTAACTTTTTCCCTTTGAAACCACATAATTAAGTATTAAGTCTGTATGTGTTTCCTGGATGTCTTTCCAGGGTGTCAGTGTTTGAAGGGAGTGCTGATGCCACAAAAAAACAGTTTTTTTGCTAAGTAGCTTTTCTTGAATACATCAACAAAAGAATTCTAGGAAGAAATATTTTCCACCAAGTGATTACATATCATGATATGATTCTATTGTAGAAAAAAACATTATTGTTTAGTATTTAAGTCAAACCTTTTCAAATGTTTGAGTTATAAGATAGTACGTGCATAATTTCTCAGAATATATAGACTTATCTATAATTTCTTTTTTGCTCTATTCAGTTTTTAAGATAGGTATGCATTTTTAGGCTTTTGACTAGATATTTATTTCAATAACCACATCTTTGGCTAAGCTTATTGTAATAATCACTGTAGTATGTATGCAACTACCAGAAAATCAGATATTTTATTATATTTAATTGATGTTATCTTCCCTCTTTGTTGCTCATTAAAATGTAAGATACTATCATCACCAACCATAGAATAAAATGAAATAAAAATTGTATGTTTATAAATTTAAAAAATGTGAGTCTATACTGTGTCATACATACATAGTTAATAGGATTTCACTTTTTTATTGTGTTAAAATATACATAAGATTTACCAATTTAACCATTTTTAAGTGTACAGTTCAGTGGCATTACCTACATTCACACTGCTGTGCAACCATCACCACCAAATGTCTCCAGAATTTTGACATTTTCCCAAACTGAAACTCCACACCTATTGAACTAGTACTGCTCATCCTCTTCCCCTCCCAACCGCTGGCAACCCCATTCCAAGCTTTCTGTCTCTGTAAATTTGACTGGTCTTTACAATTCACAGTACTTGTCTCTTGTAGCCAGTTTATTTCACTTGGCATTATGTCTTCAATGTCCATCCATGTCATAGAATGTATCAAATTAGAAAATTTCCTCCCTTTATAAGGCAGAAAAATAATCCATTCTGTGTATTTAACACATTTATCCATTCATTCACTGATGGGCACTTGGGTCCCATCAGTGGGACCCGGTTTTATCTATTGTGGGCACAGGTTTTATCTATTGTGAATAATGCTTCTATGAACACAGGTATACAAATGTCTGTTCAAGCCCCTGCTTTCAGTTGTTTTGGGTACATACACAGGAGTGGAATGCTGAGTCATATGTTATTCTATATTTAATTTTTTGAGAAGCCATTTCATCGTTTCCTACAGTAGCTGGGCCATTTTACATTCCTACCAATAATAAAGAGTTCCAATTTCTTTACATCCTCACAAATTCTTGTTATTTTTCTGCATTTTGTTATTGGCCATCCTAATGAGTGGTATGCACATTGTTTTTAAATATCAAAAGTGCTTTTTCTATCATCTCTTATATTCTGGGGTAATGTTCCATAAATTGCTGTATATTCCAGGAAGAAAAATGTCTTACATTCTGAAAGAAATGAAGTAATTTGATTTGATAGTCATTTTGACCTGTTTTCTTTTCTGGTCATTCCTTTGTGCTTAAACCTGGGATTGTCAGAATTTCAACCCATTAAGTGTAATTTATTTGAGTGTTTTTTTTCCTTTGTTCCAATAGTAATTGTGCTTTTAGGCATTTATGGAAAGAACTGAACAGCTACCTCCTAGTATACATTCTGTTGATAAACAGAGCCTGAAGTACATATAACTCTGATTTATAATTCTTGAAACAAGTGAGTGTTAAGGATTTTAATTTTTTTCTTAAAGGAATACTCGCAGAAACCGACTTATTATTTCTTTACAGAAAGAAAAAAAGGTGTACCTGGTATTTCTACCTGAAGCAGTGAAAGAAATTTCAGTACAAAGATGGGAATCCAGCATAATGCATCAGTAAATACAATAAAGAAAAACCGTTTTGCAAGGATCATCTCTTTTCTAACTTGATTCCGTATTTCAGTAGCTGTTATGGCGCTTTGATGAACGCTGTAAAACATACTTCCATAGGAAAAAACTATGATGATAAATGCCGCCAAATTAATACCTATTTAGAACACAAAGATTATTATTAATGTATATGAACATTCCCTCAAAACAAACATAGTCTTAGCTGTTATTATTAAGGAGAAGATACAAAGGCTATAAAGTGTTTTTTGTTTATAGGAATTACTAAAGTACACAAAAATCATGAATTTTTAAAAATTTAAAGTTCTGTTGAAGCATGAGGAATGATGAAATGTTTAAACTTAAAATGGCATATTAAAATGAGAGTGTAGTGATTCGGTGAATATCCTAAGCCTAGTAAATTAAACTTTCTAGAATTTATTTCATAATTCAATTAGTTTAAATTGTACTTTGATAATATTTTTTACAAGAGAAAACACTTGAATGTCTACTCCCAAGCCAAAGACTTGTGTGTGGTACTTTGAGTTTGTTAATATTATAAAGGCGAAGAGTTAAAAATATATTTTGCTAATATGTTATTAGGGTGAAAGCATGAAATACAAATGTTCGGTGTCTTGTCTTTTATATGGTACATCATGTTGGAATTGATATGATAAAGTGGTGATTTAGGAAAAAAACCATCCCTTCAGGGGATTCTCAGAGAATCCACCCCTTATGCCAATGAGAAAAACTGGTTAGAAGATTTGAAATAAAAATTTATAAACATAAGGCATAATGTGATTCATATTGTGATGTGTTCTAACTTTTGAATGGAAAGGCTTATAATACTGAGTTTCTTACCAAGGAAAATTGTCACTGAATAAATCTGGGCTGCAAAACTTTCTGTATCTTCTGAATGGAGAGGGAAGCATACTCCATTGGTGCCATAGTAGTTTTTGAAAAATTCCTTATTGCTCAATGGAATTAAAGCCACTATAAGCCCAATAATCCAAATGAGAATCAGAGCTGTAATTGTTCTGCATTTTCCAGGTCTTAAACATCTGAAAGGATACACAATGCAGATATATTTTTCCAATGTCAGAAATGTTAAAAGTAATACTGATACTTCTGTGGACAGAATGGCCAAAGATCCCACAAGCTGACAATGAATACTCTCCATCCACAGCTGCGCGTGCTTGTTGTATTCTCCACGGAACTTTAGGTCAAAGGCTCCGATCACAAATAAATATATTCCCATTAGGCAGTCAGCACCTATAGGAATCAACAAATTTCACAGATTTAGAGAAATAAATGGGCAAAATGGAATTTCAATAAGCTGCAGTATTTTTCATATTAGCGAACAATAACCAACTTTCTTTTTTCTTGGGAAGAGGTCATTTTTATTCTAAAAGTTCATTTATGGTAAGGATCACGTCAACTCTCTTTGATAATTACTCTTAACAGAAACTTCCATAGCTAATTATGTGATTATTTCTCTGTTTTCCCCTAATATTCAGATCTGTGAGAGCAGGGGTCTTGTCTGTTTTGTTTTCCATTCTAGTTCCATCACCTAGAAATGCTGAATAAATGAATAAAAGGCAGTTATCCTGAGCATTTGATAGGGACCAAGATGGGGGTGTTATTATTTGGTTCACTTTTTCCACTAAAATCTCTCAGCTCAAGCTAAGGACATCATCCAAAAATCTCAGAGAAAGTAGCTCAAGTTTCTGGGATTGCTTAATGACTTGCTAATTTTGAGGTCTATAATTTAGAAGATAGGAATAATTATGATGCATACTGCAGGCAGTACGATTTTGGGGGGCTTGCATTAATTCCCCAAGAGCTGGCCTACCCTGTTCTCCCTGATTCTCTCATCTCAATTTCACCTTTTTCTCTGCATCCCCCAAAATCAGCTGTCAGTGTGACGTACTACTTGGTGTATTTGCTTTTTAAGCAAACATCACATCAGAAAGTAGGTGAAATATTTTTGACTGAGCAAGCATTCTACACACATTAACATTACATCACTGTATAAACTACAACTCTGAACCTAATTCTTAAAAATTGAAATTATATTCTGGCCTTCACCAGGGAAATTATGGTACTCAAAATTTTGTGTTTAACAATAGAAAGTAGCAATTACTGAGATCTGTTTCTTAGGTAGCTTGCAATGAAAAGACAATTAAATATTAGACTTTGAATGAGGGAGGACTAGCACACGGGACAGCAAGTGTGAAACCAAAACACCATCTAGATTGATGCTTGAGAGCATATAGATAAATTACATGGTATTTAATCACACTATAAACATTCTGAGGACTGGATTCTTATTTTTTTGTAGTCCTCATTTAACAAAACCTAACAAAACCTTGCAATCAAACTTCCAAAACTTAAAAAAAAAATGCTTAGTACCACCTAAAAATGTTTTCTTATTTAAGTATTTCAAATTACAAATAAAAAAAATTTTAGTAGCTCAGAGACCACAAATATCTATTAAGTCGATATCTGTGAACTGGACACTAGAACAAAAAACTGAATATAGCTCTGTATGCAAATATATGACCATAAGAGGTTTCAATTTTAGTCATAGTAAATGTTTTTTAATTTATTTTATTACATGCTTTAATAACATATGCCTTCAGAGAAGAAAACTAATGAATGAAACTTTATGAGAAATTAATGAATGAGAACTTCATTAACTGTGCAAGGTAATTGAATTTTCTTGTTTTAAAACTTATTTTCTTATCACTAGAGTAATTCTATTTTTGTTGTGAATGTGGAAAAAACAACATATAAGCAAAAGAAAAAATGTAAAAATCTCATAATTCTACCACTCTGAAAACTTATTTTCAAAAGCAATGCTTTTACATATTTCAAAACTAATTCCTCTTCAAACAGGAAATACTCACAGCAGAGAGAAATGATTGACATGGCATGCAGCTTGTTCTCAGACCTGATGTAAGGTCGCATACAAATGACAAGGATGTTTCCAAAGCAAGTAATTGTGGATACAACCCAGACGAACACTCTCTGAAAAATGCTTGCCAAGAGATTCTCTATAGATGAGATTCCGTCAGTGTTTGGTTTACAGCTGCGAACATGTGGTGCATATCCACAGTATTGGAATTTCTTAAAATATCTGACATACAAAAAGAAGATAAGATAAAATTTTAAATTTAATTCAATGTCACTGCATTACTATTTATTTCATACATTTTCTCAGTAGAAACAATGTTTTAACATGAGGAATATAAAGCATTAGGGACAGTGAAGCTTTAAACAACTTTAATTCTCATTAACTTGACTTCACTGTAAAAGAACACGTCGTCAGGCAGCAAATAGGCATAGTGAATATACAATTGCTAGATATCTCTTCAAATACAAATAAACTGTTAAGATATGACTAAGAATTAATCCACCCAAGGAAACTTTTGTTGGGTTTTAGTGTTTAGTATGTGTGAATGCACTGTTACATAGTTCCTATTCCTGCAACCGCTCTTGTTTTTTTAACCTTTAGGGGAGGAGAGAGCTAAGTGCTTTCTTCCTTGTGCTTCCATGGCTTTTCTACTGTCAGAGTTATTATGTGACCAATAACTACTTGTTAACATGCTTTTCTCTCACACTAGATTTTGGTACATAATAAGGTGTTCAGCAAATACTTGTTGAGTGAATTCTGTCATCAATAGAGAGACCTCTCTTGTTGATAAAGATACCACTTGGATAATTAATTACTACAGTGTTACCATCAACACCAACACAATATTTGAGTATCTTCTTGGTATCAGGAATAAATTCTCACATCAACTCCGTGAGGTAGATATTAGACACCATAGGAGGAGATGAATCTTCAGTGGAGGCACATGACTTGCTAGGAGATTTTCTAATAAATGTAGGAATTGGGATTCAAATTAAGTCTTTTGCCTCTAAAGCCAGTACTCTGGCAAAAAAATAGAAATGAACTTTATACTATAAAGAGCTGTAGTATTACAAGATAAAAGGTTGACAATTACAGTATATGCCTTGTTTAACTTGTTGCCTGGATCACTAGATCTGCCATGGTTTCTACCCAATTCGAGTGTGTTCCTTGACTTGTTTCTTGGGTTTTAAGAGCTACACCATTTCCTTCCAATAAACTATTTTGCTTAACGGGCAGAATTTTCAGTTGTGTGCAACCAAGAAATGTTAATAATCATTTTTTTCTGAGGAATTACAGAAAAACAAAAACAATAAAATGTAAGCAAAATTATAGAGTGGTGGTGGCTGACATGAAATTTTCTTAATTATTGAGATAGCTCTAATATATGCCATAAGATTGCATTCAACTAAAGAAAATATTTCTAAAATGTTTGAATAAAAGGTTTTTCAAAGTTTACCATTTTATCCATACACACTTGTTCTAAGCATGCAAGGTGTTGGGGGCAATTTTTACTGAGGATGATTTCTCATTCCCATCCTCGATTCAGAGCAATTATTTATTTACAATTATTTCATGTTGCTTATATAAATTCCTACTTCTTCATTTGGTAGCACTTACCCCATGTGTACAAACTACTAGCTCATTAGGCAAACACCAGTATCTGTGAATGCTATCAGAGCCAAGAATTTAGAAGACTGAGTGGTTTTCCTTCACACTCATGTTCTCTGTCATTCAAAAAGCCTCCTTTGATTCTACCTAACTGTGGAAAACTAAAAATCACTCCACCCACTATCAATACTTTAAGAGCTAATTGTTGTATAGGCAAATTAGCCAGTATAAAAATGCTAATAATTGGTTGCAATGGGTATGGATGTATTGGCACAGACCGTGTAGAAGAAAAGATGAAAATCAAGGTGAAGAAAAAGAAAAACATCTACTTACATGTAAGAGAGATTCATAAGTGGTCTAAACATCCTTTGTTGGATATTTGAAATTTCAATTCCTTCTAGGCTGCTAAAAATATCAAAATAATATATGTTACACAGGATGTAATAAAATGAGTTTTTGTGAAGTACAATTTAATAAAATCATGCTAGTTAGCCGTTATTTTGAACCAAACATTCATACTCAGTCTGCCCCAGGTACTTCCTCAACTCCTTTTGATTGTATTATTTATACACATATATCTCCTCCATTTGATTTTTTGGATCTTCATAAATCATGGCACAATGCTTTGTGCATACTAAGTACTCAATAAATATTGATGAACAAATGACATTTTCTTTTAGACAATATTACAATACCAGAGAGTTTTACATTAAAACAATTTTTCTGATAATTTTAAGATAATACTTTTTTTCTAGTAAAATACCATTTTACTTAGGGAACACTTGAATGAATTGCAGTATATCTTTTAAAGTCAATTCTTACACTGTAACAGAATTTTTTTGTGTGTGATGCAAGTACTGATTTATATAATCTAGAATATTCCATTTTGAGATAAGGATTGGCTATAATAAATTTTTATATACCCTTGGAATGAATATGCATAGATGCCTTCAGAGGATCAAAGCAAACAATCCAATATAAGCTCCTGGTAATCACAAAAAAATATAAAATGATTTATCATCATCTAATTTTTAGTTTATAAATATGTTAGATAAAACTAATAACTTTGTTTATAGTCCATTGAGTCCAACTCACATATTTTTGTGGAGCTTACCTAATACCAGGGGCTAAAGTCTCTGATTTGAAAGATTCTATAAATCTTATAGTATAGAATTTATTAACTATTAGCATATGAATAACAATTTCATCATAAAACTATCCCCATAGGTATATACTTACAGAGACTTGAGTTTGACAAGATAATCAAATTGGTTTGCTTGAATTTCCTGGATTGGGTTATAGGAAAGATTCCTGTTTTCAAAAAAGTAACAATAGGTCATTTCTAGATACTGCTTAAGCAAAGGCAGAGTATATCTGTTGATTTAGGGTACTTTTAAACATTAACCAAAAAAAGCATAGTAGTAAAACTTGTCTTACAGAGTTCACTGGATATTTAGGTGAATTAATGGAGTTAAAACACTTGTTCCAGTGTCTGGCTCTTAGTAAGCACTCTATAATTGTGTTATTGATAGAGACAATGTGAGCGTGAGGTGAAATTGTCAAGAAATGGCTCCCACCAGAGAACTGGTATGGTACCCAGAGAGCAACTATACCTGTTGCACATTTTGCTTAGCATCTCAGTCTAATGAAAAAAATCTCTTTTAGTCAAAACTTGAATTAATGGAATCACATTAAATACTTTTTACAATAAGTTTTATGTCAGAGAGTGCACATTGTACTAGTGATTTGTGAGGCATGAAGTGAAAAGTAAGAGGCCATAGCTAGGAACAAAGAGACACAGATCAGAGTGACAGTACAGCTGAATTTAAGGGGAAAAAGTTTCAGAATCTCTGTAAAACAACACCTTGAAGTGGAAATTATTGATTAAGGGGAGCTTCTCAGGGCAAGTTCTCCTTAGGAAATTCATTCTACATTAGGTCGTTGGTTAGGTGAGGGCTGGAGGGAGCTGCTGGGGTGGGGGGTGATTACAGAAAGAAGGAAAGAGGAAGAATGACAATGAAAAAGGAATATAAAGGAAATGAAGTGGACTCAACAGTTTAGGAATAGCAGGAAACTATCTTAATGTAACAAAGGCCAAATGTGAAAAGCCCACAGCTAACATCATCCTCAATGGTGAAAGGCTGAAAGCTTTTCCTCTGAATTCAGTAACCAGACAAGGATGCCTGCTTTTGCTTCTATTCAACATAGTACTGGAAATCCTAGCTAGAATAATTAGGCAAGAAAAAGAAATAAAAGGCATCCAAATGGGAAAGGGAGAAGTAAACTTATCTCTGTTTACAGATACACATAATCTTATGTATAGAAAACCCTAAAGATTCCACACTTACACAAAAAGACTGTAAGAACTTATACACAAATTCAGCAGTTTCCAAATACAAAACCAGTACACAGAAGATGTGTTTCCATATACGAACAACAATTCAAAAAGCAAATTAGGAAAACAATTCCATTTACAATGGCATCAGAAGAATAAAATACTTAGGAATGAACTTAGCCAAGGAAGTAAAAAACTTGTACTTCAAAAACAAAATGCTGCTGAAAAAAAATTGAAGACACCGATAAATGGAAAGACATTCTGTGTATTTATGAATTGGGAAATTGAATATTGTTAAAATGTCAATAGAATACCAGTCTACAGATTCAGTGTAATCTCTATCAAGATCCCACTGATTTTTTTTTTGTAGAAATAGAAAAATCCATCCCAAAATTCATATGGAGTCTCAAGGGTGCTTGAATACTAAAATAATCTTGAAAAAAAATAAATTTGGAGGTCTCATACTTTCTGATTTTAAAACTTACTTCAAAGCTACAGTAATCAAAACTGTACTGGCATAAAGACAAATATCTAGACCAATGGAAAAGATAGAGACCCCAGGAATAAACCTTTGTATATATGGTCAAATGATTTCAACAAGGGTGCTATGACCATTCATTGGGAAAAGGATAGTCTTTTCAACAAATGGTGCTGAGAAAACCAGATAGATATCCACATGCAAAAGAATGAACTTAAACCCTTACCTTACACCATGGTAATGCCAGTTGAGCTGTACATTTAAAAATGGTTAAGATGGTAAATTTTGTTATATTTTTATCACACTTAAAAAATAAAAAATAAAGAAATGAAGTGACAAAATTTTTAAGTCTTACAATTGTGAGAGCTCCTTTAGATCCTTAAATACATTCGGTGAAAGATTTTCAATCTTATTACTTCCTAAATCCCTAAGGAAATAAATACAAACATGTCACATATCTTATTACTTTATTCACTGTTCTCTGATTCATTAGGAAATTATTATACAACTTTTAACAAAGCTATATTAATTATCAGAAGTCTAAAACGTTTTTTTAAAAAAGGAGTGTAATGGGAAAATATATTTTGTGTTATTTCATCACTCTCTCAGGGACAAATACTTGATGGGATTTAATCTGGTTCTAATAGATCCAATTTTCTAATTCAATGCATATATGCATAATGCCCCTTCATCACTTCCCTTGCTTTCTTTCTTTTCATGTTAGAATAACAATACCATCTGGAGTCTTATTTTTCACTTTTGCTTGGATTTATTATGATTATCAAATAGAATTGGATTATTTCAGTGCAAGTTTCTTTCACAGTTTATATACATCAGATCTCATCTACTCCTGGGGCAGGGGACTTTATATGTCTCCTCATGAATGCGTAGAGACTGGGTTTTCTGACATGATCGTTAAACTTAGTTTTAAGTATTTTGATGGCAGCGCCTCTTGTGGTAGCTTGGATGATGACAGCTCTCGTGAGAAAGGCCTCAGATTGTTCTAAACAAGGTAACATTTTGCTAGGTTTGAGTTCTCCAAAGTGATCAAGAGATGCTAAGAGAAAGCCCAGCCACTGTCCTTATCCATCTAACAAGCTTTCCTTCTTGTGCTTCTGGTGAAATCCTTATTCATCCTTCAAGATTCTGCTCTAATGTCACTCCTCTGTTCTCTCATATGCTCCTTGTGTACATTTGTATCATAGCTCCTATAACACATGTGGCATATATGGTATATATAACGTGATATCAGAACTGGTTATGGAATAAGCTGTTTATGTTCCACCAGTTCACTGCTGGTTACTGATACTCATGTAGAACCTGCACCTTACTGATACCATGAAGACCAGGATTTGGAGAAACTGCCTTCTGATACTCAGATAGTAGTTGCAAGTAGGATAAAGCAAGGGAAGTTATGGGTCCCTTGACTAACTTGTATTTTAATGGCTAGATAATACGTTTGGATAATATCTACACACATATCTCCCTACTAATGAGATTAAAATAATTTCTTCTGTGTTGATGATGTGGTTCAGTTGCTGGATACAGGAGCTGTTACAACAGATGCTTGGTTCTAATCTCTATTGAGATTCTCTTGCACTCTTTGAGAATGATTGGTACTGCCTACCAAAAAATGTTTTGGCCTAATGGTGAAGGAAAAAATGCTGAGGTTTCAATGGCTTGTTTACTGATGTTCTGGAATGGAATACAGTCTTGTTTCAGAGGAGTGTCATGATTGGTAGATGTAGTACCTCTACCTGTCACAGTGTGCAGGCAAGGTGTCCAGAGAAACATTCTAGTTATGTTCTTTATTTTTATGGAAAAGTTGTAATAAATCAATGTTCTGCCTCACTCATTGTCAAAACATCTAGACTGGTTCACACTCCAGATTCTTTCCAGAAAACACAAAATCAAACCAGTTGTTAACTAAAACTTCAGCAAAAACTCAACTGAGAAAATTAATACTAAAAAAGAAAATCCTGTGAAGGACATGTACTTCATCCAACCAGCTACTATTTGCTTGGACCATAAGTCTTTGGTTTATCAAGGAGTTATTTTAATGTCCTTCAGAATTGTGTCATTGATCTTAAAAAGAGGATGCTATTTGTAATGTTTATATTATAGGTTGGAATGTCATCTACAGATGTTTAATTTCTTTATGGATCTAGTATTATTCTTTGGTTTAAGGATCAGCAAAGTGGTGTCTTTTTACTTTATGGTCTCTGAATCCTAACTCATTAGGAAACTTAAAGACAAATGCACTGCATCTCTCTAGAGGTGAGATGGAGTGGTGTAGAATGTATTTTATTAATTTCCCCAGACTTTATCTTTCTCTATAGCTATGTTTTTTTTACTTCACTTTCCTCAAACATTTACCTTACATTTTTCTTGTATATATATTTTAGTAAGCTGTATGAGTTCCTTTATGCCTCAAAGTGTATAAAAATAGGACTAGGAGAAGAAGTAATAAATATTTCTTAAATATATAAAAACACAAATGTGTAACAAGTATGAACTAACACAGTAGAGAGAATATTCTTATCAATATGTTTAATTAAACTTACAATTCATCTAGTTTCTGGAGAGGTGCAAAAGTATTTTCATTTAGGTGCTTAATTTTGTTTTCTCTCATTACCCTGAAAGTAAAAAGAAAAATGTGTTGTAGCTTGAGATAATTGATAAATGAGTTATTGGAGAGATTAACAGCCCACAAAACAAAGACAATTATATACAGTGCATTTTCACATCAAGATATTTTGTCATTTGATAAGTTGCCCAATCTAACTTTAATCTTAGATTTCCCAAATCTTTTAATGAAGATAAAAATAACAAATATTATTCAATTTTAAAGAAGTAGGGGAGAATTCTGCAAGGGAAATAGTGAAATCCTCAGCTCTTGAGAATATAGCCTGAATATCATTTTAGAAAGGTGTTTTAGGGCCATCTCTTCAGGCTGATGGCATGTCTGTCTAATAAGTTATTTCCCACACAGTAGCGCTAATACACATTTGGGAGTCTAATCTAAGCTGGACCAATTCAGAAGATCTCTAGTTTGGGATGTTGAATCAGACTGTAACTCTTCACAGTTCATTTCTGTGCTGATCTCATTTGTTACGAGCTAGCATAAAGGACTAAGGCATAGAAAGGTTTAGAAGGGTTCTCAATTCGTGAAACATTTTGTGACATGCCTGGAACTTGGCCTTGTCCCATCGTGAGTATTTGTTTTCTCCCAATACTCCAGATCATTACCACCTCCTCCCAGGATCCCAGGACTAGAAAAGCAGAAGCACCTGCCAAGAGGACACTCACAAATGATTTCTTCATACAGAGCTTCTTTAAAAATGAATACAAGTAGAACAGAAGAGAAAGTTATCTTTTTCGTCTATGTCCTTTAGGTGCAATATGTTTTTTTTGGAAATTAGTATGAACTCTGTTGCATGACTGATATAGAGCACCCTGTATCTGAAGACTGATGAAGTCACTGCAGAAGAGTTCAAATATTTCAGTGAATTTGAACCTATCGTAGTGTAGGAGGGAGGGCATAACTGGAGAAAAATTATTGTTTTATCAGTGGTAGCTTTTGCATTGTCTGTACATGGGGCCCTCAGGCATTCTAACACATTTTTTGAACTTTTCCCATGTAACCTATAGTAAAAAAAATGAATTTTACATTGGGACATAGCATACACCCACACAAACCAAGATTTATGAAATAATACATTTAATTATCTGAATTGTACTCTGGTATTTTTATTCAATTCAATTCTATTCTATTTTATTGAAAAACTGCTAGTCAGGACATGCTATATTGTTTTCATCACCCATTTGTGAGTTTCAACCCACAGTTTGAAAAACACTTTTCTGGAAAAATAAATCTGTGAATGAATGAGGCAGTTGTTTTTTTAGATTGAAGGAAGACTTCAGCATCCCTTACTTTCATGGACGAGACCAGGTGAATTTAAAATAGACCAGAGAGGAATAAGGAGAAATTATACTTAATAACAGTCTCAGATTTATCCTGGTGTCCACAAGTGTTATATCTGCAGGGGTGTGAACATTCTGAAGGTTTTAAAAAAAATTTTGATTGTAATTGAATATTTTCCCACAATCTTTTCAGTAATAATATGCACAGGGCAAACAGTCTTATAAATTAAGACTTTACTGTTTCTCAAACTGAGATCCAAAGACTGACTCTAGGTAGGCTATGGGAAATTCTTCCCACTAAAATGGGTATAAAACAGGTTTCATATACCACAGGGCTATTGTATATTGTGAATCTGAGGTTACACTTGGTTTGAACTCCAATAATTTTGCCAATGTGTTTTGGTTTCAAAAAACTTAAAGTGGAGAGTGAACATTTGTCATAATTCCTATGAAGGTTTATGCTAACTTCTGTTCACATAAATGATTCATTTTGTTTGTAAAGAGATGTAAAGTTACTTCAACAAAGATAAAAACTTTACAAAATGGTTACTTACAAAACAGTTAAGTTACTGCAGGAAATAAAAGTCATATTTTTTAAATTATGGATATGGTTGCCTTCAAAGTCCCTGAAACAGAAATAAGATGTTAAAAATAAAATAAGATGATAAAGCAAATTTTAATCATAAACAAATAAATTTGTTAAGAATTATTTGCTTTCTAATAAAATACGTACTTGTCACATACTGTTTGTTTATTTCACTTAGATTTTTACCTGTGGCCTCTTACATTATATCTGAAATAATGTGTTTAATGTTTCTTTTTCTGTGTTAGTAGTAAACATGTTTTGAGTCACATCCGTATAATGTGTTCATATGGGTACATATGCTGAGATGTGATGAAAATAAGTCAAATTGAAAACCCATTTTGGTAACATATATTTAACAGTGATCTGTATTAAACATCTGACCAGTTACCAATGGCAGTCATCTAGGGGTTTGACCCTACTTGCCACAGCCTGCAGAAGATTCTAGTATTGCTGCAGAAGCTGTTACTGCCAAACCTATGCTAACCTCTACCTCCCTTGCCCAAACATTCTCTAGAAAAAATTCTCAATAGCCTTTCACCACTGACAAAGTCCTTGTCTGCTTCATTATATTGCCACATGTGCCAGTGCAGAGACACACAGGCCATCCTTGTCTCTCTACTCCAATTCAGAGAGCTGCATATACACTGTCCTTGAGCTCCCATGCTGTGTGATGCTCTCACTACTGGGAGTCTGGTCAGAGCAACAAAACTTGTCAAAAATTTATGATCTATTGTTTCATCTTCATGGTTATCATGGAGGTATTCTTTTACTGCTCATCTGCTATGGTTTCATTAGGTTTATGGTAGAAGCTTGTAGGCCAAAGAGTTAGATGGGGTTAGGGACATATTTTCAGATATGCTGGTCCTTAAATCTATTCAGTTTTTCCCAACACTTAGTTTACTGGTAACCAAATAACATAACAATTCCAGAATAATTACAACTAAAATAATATATGAGTTGAAGTGTGACACTGCTACTAAAATCTGTAAGGGAAACATGGGCTGCATTAATAAAAGTGCCTATATTCTGCTGGGTAGGTTACATCTGGAATAGTCAGTTTTATTTTGGGCACTGCAATAAAAATAGAAGTGGACAAATCAAAGTATATCTGGAAGATCTGGAAGAACAGAATGTAAGGGGTCTAGAAATCAAGTTGACTGAAGAAAAGGGAGTATTCATAACAGAATATCAAAATTAGAGATATTTGAAGTCAGATTGTAAAAGATACCATAGGGGTTTTCTATATTGCATTAGATTGCAAAATGAGATTTACTGGACACAAAACATTTCAAATTTAGGCTCATAATCTATGGTGTCCAGAGAATAAGGTTTTTATCAATATAAGCATTTAGCAGAGGCAGTATACTGTAACAAAAATTTTGTAGACAGGATTTCTGTACTATATGGGATATTGTATTATAATCTTAAGTCTTGATTCTAGATCACACTTCTAAAAAAATTCTATTATTCTATGAAACTGGAAAGTAAGCACTTAGAGTACTCTTTTTTTTTTTGGTCATTAGGTTTTGTCACGGCGTTGGTTTCTCATTAACGTATGTTATCAATGACAGACTGTTCATTCCCTTTTCTTATTTTTGTGCTGTTACCATGAATCTTCCACCAGGTGGTGATGCTCTTCTAAGCCTTACAAAATATCCTTAGCTGAGTTCTTGTAGCTACTTAGGTAATTTTTTTCCCCTTTTAAGCTAGCAAAAGTATCTGTTAGAAGTTGTTTATTAATTTGTAAAAATCAGTAAGAGGCACACATCACAGCATAAAATAGGGACTTTGGGTTACGTTTTCATTTCATATCATTTTGACTTTATTTTAACCTTTATTTGTGAATTTTCTTTGGCTTTCTTTCGAAAAATAAAGGTTTAGTTAGTTCCTGATATGCAGGGATCTGGTTCATGCAGGCATGTTAGCTTAGCCAGACAATTCTGCTCCTTGCTCCCTAGCTTAAGCTCGAAGGGAGCTGACTAGAGGTGTTTTTCTTAATGTCTAGCTAGAGTACATTTCCAACTTAATGAGCCCCCGAACTTCACCACTTTATTTTTCCCTTTATACATGGCAGAATTGGCTGAAAATGAAAATTTCGTTCTTTGATCTGAAGAACAGCAATAGCAAAACCAAAAGTACCAATAATTTTGCGTGTTCCTTCTTAACTTCCTTTCATGCCCTAGTGGCGTTCTAAACATGCAAATAAAATCCCCATAACCTCTACTTCCTCCCCTACCTTTTAATCATGTCTAGCTCCTGTTTGACAGAAAAAATTGAGGTGATGATGCAGGGAAAAGCCCTTGACTTTCTGCCCGACATCTATAAACTTACCTCTATATGCACCTGGTCTCCTTCTAGTCTCAGAGGAAGAGATGACCCTTCTCCTGCTTTAGGCTAATCCCTCCATCTGCTTTCTTGAGTTTGGTTTGTGTATGTGTATGTCCTAAAATATATGGTCAATTTTGGTGAATGTTCTTTGGGCATTCTTCACTTTCAGGTTTATATCTGTTAGAATTAAGTGTAGGTACGTACAACAGAGACCCAACCATAACAGCATAACTACATAAGGATTTTTCTTTTTCAAGAAAAAAAATCTAGAGTTAGGCAGTCCAGGGCTAGTATGGTAGTTGTACTAAGTTGTTAGAAACCTAAGGTTTTTCACATTCACCATTCACATGTCCTTGTCTTCATGGTCTGAGATCCTGCTAATCCTTTTTTTTTTTTTTTTTGAATAAGGCAAGAAAGGAAGGGTCTGCCTTTTTCCCTTTAAGGACAGTTCCTAAAAGTTCCATGCTATAGTTCTTCCAACTCATTAGCTAAAGCTTAGTTACGTGGCTATACCAGGATGCAGGGAAATCTGGGAATGTAGAATTTTAGCTGGGCACACTGCTATTCCAAATAAATCAGTTCTATTATTGAGAAGGGACATTGCAGTTTCGAGTACATCAATTAGAGTTAACTCATTTATTATGTCAGTTAATTCTCCATCTCCCTTTTTGGTTTTACTTGATCTTTCATGGATTGAAAGAGGTGGATTATTATGTCTTACTGTTATGTATGTCTATTTATTCTTTTGTTTTGGTTGCTATATGAATCTATTTGCCAAAAATATAATGTAATCTTTTATTGGAAATTGTACACAATAGCATTTAAATGTCCTTAGTATTGTTTAGTGCAAACTGGCTAGCATTCTAACTACTTAAATAAAAACTACTTTTTGTTTTTGTTTGCATCTACATGGCAAATTTTTCTGACCAGTCTTTTAGTTTCAATCTTTCTTAATCATTTAGTAATAGTTGTATTTTTTTTGTAAATAGTGCTGAGTTAAGTTTTGCTGTGTAAGCCAATTTCAAATCTTTTTTCTTTTTAATAAGTAAATTAAGCCCATTTATGTCTGTTGATCTGACTTTAGTCTGCTACTTAAAAATATTATTACATTGTTTTATAGGTTAAAAAACTTTCAGTAGATGTGATTTTTAAAAAACTTTATTGCTTCTAACATTTAGAAAGATTTGTACATTCTATCGACTACATTTATAACTTTGCCCAACACAGTCTGTTTTCTCTTTCTTGGAGAATAGCAATATTTACTAATCCCTTGTTGTAAAAAATGATGAAATTATCTTCCTTTCTGTTCCTCTGTCTCTATCCCACAATATGATTTTGATCAACTATGTACTTTCTCAATGTTCAAGTTAAGAATATCACATCACATTTTGGTGGATTTGTTAGTTTTAAATGATGTCTCCTGACTCCTAGCTATTTTTCTTCACAGTTGTATGTTTTTTATTTATTCATTTTGAAGCAGCTTATTTAAAGTTATTACAAATTGACCCCTTAACCACTATGTGATATCTGTTTTAATCCCTAGTTATAGTCCTTGTTCTAAAGTCTATTTTTTTAGTATCAACATATACTCTCCACCTTTTTTTAATTATTATTTTTTTATAATTTTGTGTTGCATTTCTAATTTTTGTTCTATGGTATATAATACTTCAATTTTCTCTGGTTTCCTTAAGCTTTTTTTCTAAATCTTTGGCTTTCAATAGTTTGACTATGACTTGTCTAGTTTTGTTTTTTCTACTTATGCTTGGTTTTTTTGAGGTTCTTAGATTATTGGTTTGTTGTGTTATAATAATTTTGGATAATACTTGCCCATTATCTCTTCAGATATTTCTGCTTTCCTGTTCTCCCTCTCTTCTTTTTCTGTAATTCTATACACATTTTGGAACAATTTATATTATCATCAACTTTTGGATTCTGTTCTGTCTTTATTTTACTTCCTTGTCTAATTTTTATTGAAATGGAAAGCTTTCTGTTGACCCATCTTCAAGGTTATTGATTCTCTCCTCAGCTGCATTCAGTCTGCCGCTAAGCCTGTTGAAGTAATTTTTCAGTCCTCTCTAATGGTTTCCATCTCTTTGTTGACGTTTTCCACGTATTCATGCATATTGTCCACCTTTTCCACTGTATCATTTAACTTATTAAACATAAGTATTTTAATTTCCTTGTTTGGTAGTTGTAACATCTGAGATATCTCTGGGTCTGGCTCTGTTGATTGCTTTATCGTTCGACAATGATTTTTTTTTTTCTCTTTTATGGATGGGGCTTTCTCAGCAATGTTGTCCTCTTGGCCCTCAAGCCCCAACCCTAGTGAGTACTTCCCACTGCTTTGTAGCAGTGCAGGATCCTGGGCTGAAGAGGCTTTTCTTCCCCTATCTTTGGAGCAGAGCATTTGCTTCTACCCCTGCTTTGGGATCAGTGGATGTATGCCTGGTCCCTGGCTGCAGGAGCTTCCTCTGTCCCTCTCCCAGTGGCTTACAGCTTTTGCTTTGTAAGAGGAGGGTCTCGGAAAGAAGGTGGGGTTTTGTCCCCGTGCTCCACCAAGGAGGATTCTCTCTGATTTCTTTACCTATTCCTAATTTTTCTTGTGAGCTGGTGGAGGCCACAGGAAAGAAGCTTGTTAGGAATAGGTGACTCACCTGAGTATAGGGCTCCCAGTTAGCTTAACGTGGTACACTAACCTATGCTTAATCCTTACAAGTTTATTAAAATTCTAGCAGTTTTCTTTGTACTTGCTCTGTGACATCCAACTCTCTGCCAAAGGTGAAATACTGTATATGTCCCATCTGTCCTGGTCACTTGTTAGAATTCACTTGGTTGCTTTATGACTGTAGTTCTCTGAAGAGCTTGAGAAAATCATGATTTTGTAGATTATAAAGTTCTTTCTCATGGGTAGAAAAGAGCAATGCTGTCTTGTGGCTTTCTATATCCTAAGCACAATATTGTTGGAATGAAATTGTAATGTATGTACTCTTCTGTATAATATATTATATGTATGCTTTTTTTTTAGAATTATGTTCTTGATGTTGAGCCATATTGATTGAAGTAGGGCTAGCTCATTCATTTTACAGTTGTGTGTGTGTTTATCACATTTATCTTTCAATTTTCTGTGTCTTCCAGTACCTTGCTCCATAATGTTTTCCATATTTTCAAATTCTTTATATAGCATCTTCTGCCCATATACAAACTTGCTTAGTCTCATCTCAAAATAGAAGTTGATCTTTTGTTCACCTTTGATTATTGCCTTCAGTTCATATGCTTATTTATTACTTACAGTTTTTCCTTCTTGAATTTCCCAAATTTTGTTGCTATATTTACAGCTTTGTTTAATTTTCTTGCTTCAAAAGAACTGTATTAAAGGTTTTAATATGCTGTCTGGCATATCTTGCAAGCATGCTATCCTGGGATCTCCTAACTCTTTCATTTATGTGCACTTTTTAATAAATCAGAGTTAATTTTTTTTTTGCCAACATATCTATCAGATGTTTTAGTTTATACTTTCCTAAATGAAAGTTCATGTGCAAGCTAGAGACACTATAATTATTTTAAAAGAAATGAATACTCATAAAGCAATAATTATTATTACTAGAATTAAAATTGGGACAATATTCACTATCAGGAATGCATATGGAATGAGTTGTTTTGTATAGCTAAAATTTAAAGATGATAATTTTAGTAAGACATTGTAAAAAGTCCACCTCTTCAGTAACAAATCTTAATCATTTACATTTTTATTTGAAATATATGTTTGTCTGCCTTCTTTTAAAAGCAAAGGAAAAGCTTCGTTATTGTATGTGCATAAGATCTCCCACATTTGCTTCTGGTTTCAGTGCATGATTTTTTAATTGCTAATTTACTTATGTAAATATTAGCCAATATTGCTTTTTTGCTAAGTTTGGATTATGAACATGTAATAACTGTTAATATATTCTAGACATTTAATTTAATTACAACAAAGGTTGTTATTGAACTTAATTTGCCTTTGTCTTGATGACTTTAATTGTCATCCATGTGGATACTGTCCCATCTGACCAAGACACCCCCTGGACTTGGTAATGATTCTTGAGATGTTTGTCTTTCCCTAAATGGTTTTAACTTGGTGCGTTTTGAATCACTGTTTGCTTTTTATAGCATTTCTCACTCCTGCTTTATTATCAGGTTAATAGTTTACACTTCTCAGTAAAATCAATGCTTCTAACTCTGTAATTCTCCCTTACTTTTAAGTTGGCACTTCCAATCTGCTGTGAACTTAGAAATCAAATGATAAAACTTCGGAGACTTTCCTACAAAATAAGAGATGGAGCTTTCATATGCTACTGCATATGTAGTTTATTGACTGAAAATTTTAATAGTTATTTTGGCTATTTTCTTTCTTAATTTTTGCCTGTATTTTAAATGGACAAGTTTACTAAGTAATTGAGTTCTGAATTGGTAGTACAGGTTCTAAATAGGTTATTACCACAAACAAAGCTACTGTATAAAATACTCCATAGAACAGATTCTACTGTGATTAGACTTAAAAAATAAATTCTAAATATTATATTCTCATTATGTAGAATTTAGGAATGAAACTAAAGTGACTTAGATTTTCTGTATCAAACTGGTAGGTGGTAAGGTAGATCAGCGGGGGGGAAGGAGGATATATTTTATAGATACCATGTCATTTCTTTTGTCTTCCTTCTTCCTGTTTCCAAAGTATTTTCTTTTCTTTTTTTTTTTTGAGACTGTTGAGAGTATATTGGTGAGAGTTTAGAGGAGTTAATTTAGATAATGGGGATGCTTCATAAAAAAATCACCCTAAAGTAATTTGAAGAAATGTGGTATGATATTAACAACTTACAGTTTAAAAAACCTAATATTTAACATAAACTAGGCAAAACCAGAAAGTTAGTTGACTTCTTTAAGAAAAGATGCAGCAACTTACAGCCAGTGCAGCCTGGGCATGTGCTGACAAAGAGGTTTATCAGGCAAATGGGTGAGAACATTATCCATCAGCGCTCTGAAAATGAAAAGAAACAAGTCACCTATTTCTGGTTCCTTTCTCATCTTGGTCACACACAATATTATCATTATTCTTATGAAACCATGGAGACCTATGAAATTGTATGTCTTTTCTGATTTTTTTCTGTAAGTCTTGTTATACTTCAGTGCTTGTTAGTAATAGAATTTGAAAAGGAGAGCCCTTGTATGCAGGAAGCTGCAATATTAGTAACTGAAAAAAGCCTGTGCTCTTCAGTAGTGAGTAGTGAAAAGGATGCGGTTTTTAAATGAGTATTATTTTTCTTTACTAAGATTAATATAGGGTGGTAATGTGCTTAAGCATATTTCCATAAAATATGATAGGGATGCTGTATTCAGTTTTGATGGGCTGATATTCTAGAAGATAGAAGATCTTATAAAATTGTTGGAACTACAAAATAGCCTTAGAGGATATGATTTAGAGATGGTTTTTAGTTGAAAAGCCTTTGTGGGATCTTAACAATCCAAGTTTGATGCTGTTAAACTTAAAGCAGCAGTTTTTATTCATGCCCTTTCCTTCAATTGAAATATTAGCTTTAATTTTTAGTACTTACAAGAGAATAAGAGAATTTAGTCCATAAAACGTTAGTGGGGAAATTCGACTGAGGTGATTATCTTCAATTATCCTGCCAGCCAGAAGAAAAAAATGGATTCATTTATATGTTCTCAGAGTATAAAAGCAAACACTATAAAATGCCACATAAACATACAGCCATTCTAGCCTGTGGAGGTCTTCAAAAATGCCTGGCTTCAAGAAGGTTATTCTGTTATGACTGAGATACCTGAAAAAAAGAGAAATGACTACAATTAATGTGTTACTTTCTTGATATCTTACAATAAGGAAAAGAAAATCATCTTAAATTTTCTTATATACTGCTCTCATCATGCCATTTCTTTACCTTTAAAAGTTCTAAAGAACTCTAGGTCTTTATCACTTACCTTTTCATGTCTAGTTTTTAATTCCCACATAATTAATCAATTGATTACTCTATTTCTTCATTCATCTATTTGTTCATTCATGGAACTGTTTAAAGCACCTACTCTATGCACTATACTAGGCACATCATCCCTTTCCTTGAGGGAGTTTGAGTCTAGAGGGAAGGTTATTACAGAGCTGACAGGTTATTACAGCAAATAGAGAAGTGTGTGGGGCAAAGAGGGAAGTGTGTGATGTGTGGTGGCTTGGACATTGCAGGGGAGACGGCACCCAGCGTTGCTGGGGGCAAGGGCTGCAGAGTATGAAAGAGCGAGGACACAGGAAGACTTTCCTTAAGGAGGCACAATTCAGAAGAGTTTTGGATGAAAGCAGAGGATGGGTAGGAGTTACCACAGGCAGAGGAGATCCCTTATGTGTAGCTGACAGATGGAGGAGAGACTTGCAAGTGAAGGGATCACAGGTAATTTAGTGAGGCCCACCACAGAGGGCTGTGAAGAGAGACGGGAGGTGAACCTGGGAGACAGGCTAGTGACTTTTCTGGCAAAAAGGACCTTGCATGCCTGCTAAAGAGTTTGACTCCACTCTACCTACCCAACTTCTCACTCTTCGGCAGAGTGAAGCCTCTGTTCTATTACGTAGATCTTCTTTTGCCATGTTTAGTTCTATCTCCATCTTTTTAGCACAGCAACTCGCCGCTTTGAATCTGCCAATGGACAATTTGGATTCGTAGCTTTGATACTTATTAATAGTAAGATCTTAAGCAAACAAAGTCTGAAAGCCCATGTTTCCCAGCTCTATAATGGAGATAATACTAGTGCACCTGCTTTACGGGGCTGTCGAGACACATGAGGCAAAGCCTGTCATAGGCACTGGCACGTCTTATGCCCTTATATGTATTATTTATTATAACAATGTCTCGTTCATGCCTCCCATTCCAATTTCTTTCCTTTTCTTTTTCCTCTCGGCCTATGATTCACACGCAGCTAGTGGTTCAAATGTCATTTCTACTGATACATGGATCACACTGCTTTCTCTCTTTTTCCACTCTGACATCCTATAAAGTTTCTCCTTCCAGGAATCTTCCCTGCACCCATGGGTTTGACTTGCTTCAGGGTAGCCAGGGATGATGCCCATAGTAAAGGCACTTCCTTCCCTCCCTTGTAAACCTGGAGCCCCAGCTGGGCCCAGGAAGAAGTGAAGGATAGCTTCAATACTTGCCCTGACCATCTCAGGGGGATCCTTTAAAAGCCAATAAAAATATCCCACGTAAAAGGCATCTGACCAACCTATATTCGTCTATTTAGCCCTGTCTCCTCATTTCTCAGAGATATCCTTTATTGCTGTAGACCTGAAAAGGTTACTCTTTTTAGTGAATGAATCATAATAACCATTTTGATCTGAAAAGCACAGTTTAAGACTTAATTAGGCAGCTTCTTTTATTGCTAATTGTTGTGTGTATGGTGGTATTGTTTCCCCACCTCAGACCATAAGCTTCTGGAGAGCGAGAGGCATGCCTTTCCCCAGTGGTAGCTCAGTGCTCTACCAGAGCTGTAAGGTGAAACTTCTGGAAGGCAGCATGCAGCATGTGTGACTTATTCTCCTATGCCCTGCACAGCGCCCCACCGCCCTTGGTGTCTAGCTGAAAACTTCACACTGTAAGGGCTAATGAATATTAACGTTTGAACGAGGAGCAGGTTACCTATGAGAAACTAGATGTATGTGACCTTTAACACTCCAACCATATGCCAGAGCTATGAAAAACAGTGAGAAGGCATGGAGGACACTTCAAAATATCCTCTCTATGTCTGTATGGTCTTTCACATCCACTGAACATTACACCAAACAGATGCTCTAAGTTCTTAACAGGTTCATGGGGTTTGGAAAGGAAGGTAGTCAGGAGTATGATGGGAATGAGCCCAGTATTGACTGGGGTAATTTGCTAAGACCAAAAGCAGGGATGGGATAGAAGGGGGGTTTGACAAAGAGGTAACTCTTAAGGCTTTGAGTCTCCAGGGTCCGTCTTCCATTTTGCTAGCAAAACTGTTAGATAGACTCTGTGACTCAAGCCCACACTCCATACCACAAGCTAGGAATCTGGCTGGAATGATTTAAAACAGTGGTGTAGAACAGAGGCAAGGGAGCAGAAATAGAAACAGAGTTATTTATTTATGTGACTTTTGGTTATATTTCCATGCAATTACTTCTAGAAGGTTAGGTTCAGCTGCTTGGTAAACTCAATGAAATGGAACTTTGAGAAAGACTATTTTTAAAAGCTTTGTTTTTAACCACAGTGAGATACCACTTCACACCCATTAGGATGGCTGTTATAAACAAACCCCCAAACAACAAAACATGGAAAATACATGTGTTGGTGAGGATGTGGAGGAATTGGAACCAGTGGGAATGTAAAATGGTACAAGCGCTGTGGAAGACAGCATGGTGGTTCCTCAAGGAGTGAAACCACTTATGACCCGCCAATCCCGCTCCTGGGCCGACGTCCAAGGGAACAGAAAGCAAGGGCTCAAGCAGCTCCCTGTGCACCCATGGTCTCAGCAGCACCATTCACATTAGCTGAAGGGTGGAAACAACTCAGTTTTCTGTTGGTGGATGAATGGATCAACAAAATCTAGTATATGCATACAACGGGATTTATTAAACTTTAAAAGGAAGGAAATTATGGACATATGCTGCAACATGGGTGAAACTTGAAGACATTATGTTAAATGAAATAAGCCTGACACAAAAGGACCAATATTGCATGATTCCACCTAAATGGGATACAAACTCATAGAGACAGGGGTTGTTGGGAGTAGGGAGTTATTGTTTAATAGGTGTGGGGTTTTAGTTGGGGAAGATGAGAAGGTTCTGGAGATGGATGGTACAACAATGTGAATGTGCTTAATGCTGAATTGTAAGCTTAAAAATAGTTAAGATGGTAAATTTAGGTTATGTATATTTGCCACAATAGAAAAAGCTTTACTCTTTTAACCTTACAGTGTTTTATATGTTCATAAAGCAGGATTAATGGAGAAGAATAACTGGGGAAGTGTTTGGGCTTTCTCTCTCATAAACTTTCATTATCATCAAGCTTTCTTATTTTTATTAAGTTCGTTCGATCATCATTGCCATGAGCACGGCCAGTGTATATATATTGAGCTCATTCTGTGCCAAGCACAGGGCGCCCAGTTCTTTCCATGGATTTCCTCATTTGTTTCTTACAACAACCGTGAGGTTGCTACTATATAATTTGTATTTTACAGTAAAGGGAATTGATGCTTCGAAAGGAAAATGAATGGTCAGGTTCGCACACCAAGGGAGCGCTGGGGTCAAGACTCCGACGAAGCCTGTGTGCCTGGGCGCCCGCGCAGGGCTGTGTTGCCCTCGGCGGACCGTCCATCTCCTAGGCGCTGCTGCGGCCGGAGGGGGCGGGCCGACAGAGCGCGCGCAGCAGGCAGGTTGATGGGCACCGGTACTTACAGTTTCCTAAGACTGTGCAGTCCTCTGAAAGCATAGATGGATATGGATCTAATCTTATTGTTTTGCAGGCACCTGTGAAAATGATTATTAAAAAGGAAAACAATGAAACAAGAGTTTCGGTTTTACAAAATGAATAGAGTTCTATGATTAGATGGCGGTGATAGCACAAAAATGTAAATGTACATTTAAAATGGTTAAGATAGTACATTTTATGTCATATGTATTTTATCCCAATAAAACAAATTTAAATTAAAAATGTGAATATAATTACATGATTTAGTGAAGTTGGATATCATGTTATTTTTTTCTATTAAATTAATGTATGAATAGGCTAGTTTTTATTCAGAAATTCTAAGTTTAAAGGTGAACATGAATAGCTAAAATATAATATTTGAATTTTCCATGAGTGGAAATTTTATGCATGGTAAGGCACTCAGTAATAGAACAGAAGACAGACTTTTTAACATTTCATCCTATAATTCTTGTCAGTGTTCAACACAGTGCTGGCAACAGTAAAGTTACGTGACATTTTAAAGGCCCCAAACCGATATTCTATGTTAAACACAAACCTGCCACACAAGTCAACTTTATTAGTTTGACACCCCAAATGTTGCTCCAAAAAGTGTTTGAGGAAACTTATAAAGAGTATATATGACAAAAAAGGGAAATAAGAATAAAAGAATCAGGATTAGAAGAATATAAGTTAGATTGGGATGTCAAGACAAGAATGTAAAATTACACAAAGTCATACAAAAATTTTGGTCTTGAGTTAACTAGAGGTCAAAGAAAATAAATACCAGAGCACAGGCACTTGCATTAAATGTACCCTTAAAAAACTTTAAATTTGTGCATGTACTGGTCTCAGGCTGTTGGGTATTACAAAGGGATTTGAGCCTGACTTACTGTTCTGAGTGTAGGTCACCATTGTCCTTTAGGGGTTTTTTAAGTTTATACATAATTTTAAAATAAATTTTAGAAGAATAAAGAAGACAGTCTGAATGAACTCTCAACTAATTAGAAATTTTGACTAAAAGAGATTCCCTGTTTCTCCAACATGCAAGAAAACCTAACTTTGATTGTAAAATGTTACTCTTAAACTTATTATGCATCTAACAATTTCACAAAACATGCTGTGGGTCTGATCATGTAGTAGGTAATGCATTTTTCTCACTAATACACAGAAAGAGTTTAACATGTATTTATTTATTTGTTTCTAACTATTGTAACCATTTACTTACTGATCCACAGACTATTGCCTGGAGGTTGAGCCAAACTATACCTGTAATAACCAATTAGAATATTTTGTAATTAGGCTATTTTGATCTATTTCTTAGAAAAATTGTCCCTTCAAAAATTAATTTAGTATTTATTGTATTAAAAGTGCTAAACTACTGGGTTACATATACCTGAATTTTAATATTTAAATTTGAAGTCCTAACCCCTTTTAAACATGTGGACACAAGGCGGTGCTACAGATTAGTAAAAAGCCTTCATATGTCTTAAATCAGAAAACAGAGTAATGACTTAGCCTCTTGAAGTTTTTCTATCAGGCCTGATTTGGGAAAGTTCTTTGCTATTGATTCATAGATGTCCAGAATAAAGTTCTGAAAAATAATTTTAGTTGAAAATTTTATTTTCAAATATGGAACGTATTTTTTTCTGCAAATTATCTTTCTTTTCATCCAATGAAGTGGATTAGTTTTTCTTCCAATGTGCTCTATTACTTATTATCTTAAAGAAAAATGTTCACATATATACCTATGTGTGAGGTTTCTCTGGTATAGAACCAAAATTAAGAAAAAACCAATACAGTATGGAAATGCATCCAGGAATTCTGAGACTATTCTAGATAGTGTGATTCAAGCACTGAATATTTTAGCCAACAGTTCAAGCATGATAGGATTTAGTCACAAAGTTAGCCAGAATAACAGGTAAACATAACCTGGGCCATCAGGAATTTTTGAAGTACATATGAGATGCTAAACTGATGGGAAGCTAGCATGCCAGAAATTACCTGAGCCCAAAATAAAACTCAACCTACAAAGCAGATGTGGAAATGGAATTAAAGCCCCCAAACAACATGGTCAGAGGTTTCAAACCACAGTGACTTACTATCTTAGGTGGAGACTGAATTTGCAAACATATGGGAGGAAGTTCTTCACCGTGTAATCTTGAGGGTAGAGCTGGTAAAAGATCATTACATCTTTCTCTAAGGTGGGCATTGTGGTGATCCATGGTAGAATAATTTGGAGAGTAAAACTTCCTCAGTATCTTCTTTTTGGGGGTTGTGGCCAAAGGATTCACAACACATGTGCTCCAGTTTCTTTGGGGGTAAGTATCAGGGATTTTTCTAGAATGGCTTTTAGGCTCTTAAAAAAAGTTACCTGGTTGTCTCTAGCTAAAAGCTAAATAATTCCCTGAACAGGGATTAGACTTCAGCAGAGATACAGCATTGGTCTCTGGAGTGGAGACATGGGAAGAAATGGGTATGCCAAAAATGTTAGTTAATTTTAATACTGGGAATTAAATTTTTTCTTACAATTTCTGCAGGTCGTGGTACTTCTTGAAGGCATCAGGAGGAAGCTTTCTTATTAAGTTCCACTGAAGTGACCTGAAATGAATGTACATTCTGGTTCTTAGAGTTTTTTTCTTTACTTTTAAGCTACAATCATATGGATAATTATAAACTTTATTTACTTTAGCACCAGCTTTCAGGAAACATTTTATTTCATGATGTTGTTCTCATATTCATAAAACCATTTGAACTAGGTCTGTTGATTTATCTTTTCTTAATTTACTTTACAACATTGCAATTCTGACAAAAATAAAAATAGTAAAACTGGGAAAATAATTTTCAGTTGTTTTCCTTTTCTATTTTTATTGAACAAATATTAGAAACATCTGTTTTTAAGTGACAGTAAAAACAGTGTTTCTGTTTAAAACATATTTAAGAATTTACATGGTTTTTAACCTTCAGTATTTCATTGCATATATTTCACTCCCTTAACTTCCTTTTAAAATTAGTTATGAAGGAATCTGGCAATTGGTACATACAACTGAACTGTGTTTATTCAGTTATGATCCCATTTCAATTTCTAATAAATTGCAAAGAAAGATTTTTCCTTGTATCACAATTTGATAAGCAACTTGACACAGACCAGGTCCACATAATTTTGGTTGTATTGGAAAGGACCTAAACCTTTAATTTTTTACAGATAAGCAATGTAATGTTGGAGGAACAAAATAAAACAAAAAAACCCTACACACCATTGTAACTGGGGTCCCTTGCATGATTCTTACACAATCTTCCCATGTTGGTCTCTAACTGTGAAAAAATGGATTTGGACCAAACGACCTCTAAAATATGATGCTATTATTACTGTCATTATATAATATACATTTACTTACTGATCCACAGACTATTGCCTGGAGGTTGAGCCAAACTATACCTGTAATAACCAATTAGAATATTTTGTAATTAGGCTATTTTGATCTATTTCTTAGAAAAATTGTCCCTTCAAAAATTAATTTAGTATTTATTGTATTAAAAGTGCTAAACTACTGGGTTACATATACCTGAATTTTAATATTTAAATTTGAAGTCCTAACCCCTTTTAAACATGTGGACACAAGGCGGTGCTACAGATCAGTAAAAAGCCTTCATATGTCTTAAATCAGAAAACAGAGTAATGACTTAGCCTCTTGAAGTTTTTCTATCAGGCCTGATTTGGGAAAGTTCTTTGCTGTTGATTCATAGATGTCCAGAATAAAGTTCTGAAAAATAATTTTAGTTGAAAATTTTATTTTCAAATATGGAACGTATTTTTTTCTGCAAATTATCTTTCTTTTCATCCAATGAAGTGGATTAGTTTTTCTTCCAATGTGCTCTATTACTTATTATCTTAAAGAAAAATGTTCACATATATACCTATGTGTGAGGTTTCTCTGGTATAGAACCAAAATTAAGAAAAAACCAATACAGTATGGAAATGCATCCAGGAATTCTGAGACTATTCTAGATAGTGTGATTCAAGCACTGAATATTTTAGCCAACAGTTCAAGCATGATAGGATTTAGTCACAAAGTTAGCCAGAATAACAGGTAAACATAACCTGGGCCATCAGGAATTTTTGAAATACATATGAGATGCTAAACTGATGGGAAGCTAGCATGCCAGAAATTACCTGAGCCCAAAATAAAACTCAACCTACAAAGCAGATGTGGAAATGGAATTAAAGCCCCCAAACAACATGGTCAGAGGTTTCAAACCACAGTGACTTACTATCTTAGGTGGAGACTGAATTTGCAAACATATGGGAGGAAGTTCTTCACCGTGTAATCTTGAGGGTAGAGCTGGTAAAAGATCATTACATCTTTCTCTAAGGTGGGCATTGTGGTGATCCATGGTAGAATAATTTGGAGAGTAAAACTTCCTCAGTATCTTCTTTTTGGGGGAGTGTGGCCAAAGGATTCACAACACATGTGCTCCAGTTTCTTTGGGGGTAAGTATCAGGGATTTTTCTAGAATGGCTTTTAGGCTCTTAAAAAAAGTTACCTGGTTGTCTCTAGCTAAAAGCTAAATAATTCCCTGAACAGGGATTAGACTTCAGCAGAGATACAGCATTGGTCTCTGGAGTGGAGACATGGGAAGAAATGGGTATGCCAAAAATGTTAGTTAATTTTAATACTGGGAATTAAATTTTTTCTTACAATTTCTGCAGGTCGTGGTACTTCTTGAAGGCATCAGGAGGAAGCTTTCTTATTAAGTTCCACTGAAGTGACCTGAAATGAATGTACATTCTGGTTCTTAGAGTTTTTTTCTTTACTTTTAAGCTACAATCATATGGATAATTATAAACTTTATTTACTTTAGCACCAGCTTTCAGGAAACATTTTATTTCATGATGTTGTTCTCATATTCATAAAACCATTTGAACTAGGTCTGTTGATTTATCTTTTCTTAATTTACTTTACAACATTGCAATTCTGACAAAAATAAAAATAGTAAAACTGGGAAAATAATTTTCAGTTGTTTTCCTTTTCTATTTTTATTGAACAAATATTAGAAACATCTGTTTTTAAGTGACAGTAAAAACAGTGTTTCTGTTTAAAACATATTTAAGAATTTACATGGTTTTTAACCTTCAGTATTTCATTGCATATATTTCACTCCCTTAACTTCCTTTTAAAATTAGTTATGAAGGAATCTGGCAATTGGTACATACAACTGAACTGTGTTTATTCAGTTATGATCCCATTTCAATTTCTAATAAATTGCAAAGAAAGATTTTTCCTTGTATCACAATTTGATAAGCAACTTGACACAGACCAGGTCCACATAATTTTGGTTGTATTGGAAAGGACCTAAACCTTTAATTTTTTACAGATAAGCAATGTAATGTTGGAGGAACAAAATAAAACAAAAAAACCCTACACACCATTGTAACTGGGGTCCCTTGCATGATTCTTACACAATCTTCCCATGTTGGTCTCTAACTGTGAAAAAATGGATTTGGACCAAACGACCTCTAAAATATGATGCTATTATTACTGTCATTATATAATATGATGGAGCAGATGTTCCTTGATAAGAGATCAGTGGACTGCATTGATTGGAGTTTGACAGCAGTTGGATAAACACATGGAAATACTTGATTGACATAAAGGATTCAGGTAAAGACAGTGTTACACAAAAGGCACTAACCATGTTAGCTGTTATGTTGGTTTTGGATCAGTGTTGCTTAAACTTAGAAAAAACAGTTTCTCAGACTCCCCAGAACACATTGTTGGAATCCAATTTGAGAAACTCTGCTCTAAAGCCTAGAAGATCACATATTCTCAGTGGTGGTATTATTCCCCCAAGGGGGTGAAAATAGGTTCTAAGGGAGTGAAAAAAATCTTGCTTTTTTAATGGCTGAAGAACAGATATACATTAAGAGATATATAGTACACCCATAATATTAACATTTCAGAAGAGGGGAAAAATTAAAAAATGTACAAAAAGGCCCTGGGGTGGGCCCTAATGAAAAGAAAAAGGGTTAAGAAACATTGTTCTAGACTTCATATATACCAGTCACTTAGGGATTTTTTAATGAATGAACGCCAAAGGTTGACTAACTAGCAATCCTCTCTTTAGATCAGTCTTTGCTGCTGGGCTCTCACTAAATGTTCTTTCATTCCTTATATTAGTTAATTGAGAATCCCTTTTAGACTAATGATCCTCACTTGGCTTAGCTCTTCAATTCTGCTTTATATTCTGTTTAAATATTTGTGTTGTGTAAAGATAAATTGTTAAATATTTGAGTTTGATTTAAGGATATCAATGAAAGCTTAGTGTGTTCTCAAAACTGGGTTCATTCATTCATTCATTCATTCAATTTTTCAACAAATGTGTTGAATGCCTTCCATTTGCACTTCAGAGAAAAATACAATAATCCTGCCCTTATGGTTCTACTCTTTTTGGATGACAAATAGTATATTTTATCTATAAATAGAGATTTTTCTTTGGATGACAATTTCAACCTTATAGCCTAGAGCTAAAAAGGCAACCAGCTTTTTTTTTTTCTATTGTATTTATTTCCTTGTAAATTCAATTCAAAAACATTAGCTAGACCTTATAATACTCTCTTAGGAACTTTGGAGTATACATAGAAAAACCAGGTTGTAGGCCACCATGGAGCTTACAGCACTTCCCTTTTCCTGGTAGAAGACTAAGATTCCCCAATCACTGCACAAGGAAAAATGCTCTATATACTTAAAAGGGACACAGGTGAGGTTTCTGAGACAAGGAAAGCTCATTTAAGGACTCTTAAATAATATCTTAGAAAGTTGGTTTTTTTTATTAATAGTGTCTAGGATTTATAGGCTACATCCTTCTAAATGATGCCAAATGTTTCCGCAAACAGCATTCTCTGTATTTTCATGACTATTGAAATGCAAAGAGGTAGGTGTTATTATTCTCACTCAACAGAACGAATCAATATACCTTTTAATATAATAGATTCTTGTATTTTAAAATTTAATATGCCAAGTTTGATTCTTGGAATCAAAGTGAAATATGTATGCAAAGGAGAGAAACAGCCTAGTTTTATTAGTATTGTTAAAGTTAGCTGTAGTTTTATAAAGAAAGCTTTCTATTGGATTATGTAGTTTTATTGTTTAAATTCCAGGATATTATACTCAACTCTCACACAAAGTTAATGTTTAACAAGTTAGAATGGTGTGTAAATAACCATATTCATTGGTTTGTCTCTTTTGTTCATTAGCATATATGTGAAACGTCTCCAAAAAATCCCAACTTTAATAAATATTATTTGGATTATTGGTGTCTTTGATACTTTCCTTATATATGATTTAATACATTTCTGAGATTTCCCTGTGATAGTTGCAACTCAAAATATGGAATGAGCTCTCCAATAAAATTTAATATTTACTCTTTTAACGTATTTGCTGTTAAGCCTAGAGTTCCCTTTCTCTGTGGTGCTGGGCGAAGACTGGCATGAGGAGTGATGCTGAGTCAGAGCTCTGCAGAGAAAAGTAGAAATGGCTGCTTAACCCAAAGCACAAGAAAATGCTATTTTTTAAACAAAAAATAAAGCATTATAAACATAAACTCCTGAGCTTTATTCTTACATCACCTAATGCCTGCTTGAAATTCCACTGAGTGACCTGTTAAATCTCAAATTGAAAAAAGCATCTTAAACTGGAGTCCTAATCTTTCCCCCTTACTATCAGCAAGTCTCCCTACTCCTGGATTACTCAGCTGGGATGGAGACCTTGGCGGCGTCCTGGACCCTTCTTCTCCCTTGCCTCCATTCATGAATGTAGTCAAACATTCATGAGAGTCTGACCCCAGTTTTCCCTTTTATGCTGAGGATTGAAAAGTGCACACCTCTCTTGATCAATGTGTGTATGTATGCATGTCTGTCTGTCTGTCTGTCTGTGCTGAGCCAGAACAGTTGTTTTTTCAATGGGACCAGAATGCCTTTAGGCGGGGCATTCAGTTTCTAGTTCGTCGTTGCCTGTCTTCTCTCAGTCCTCCAGTTCTCGCCCTCTCTGCCTTTCTTTCACAAAAGTTAATTGTTGAAGAAAGGATTCAAATCTTCCTGGTGGGGAAATGGAAAATGAGCTCCTCAGCAACAGCATATTCTTTGATTTGGATTTTTTAGTAATTTGATACAAGCGGGGGGGGGGGGTGATAAATGTTTTTTCTTTGAAAACAGAATACAATCATTGTAAATATTTATACCCAGAATATCCAGTCAGAATTTAAATTGTGGAAACTCTCCATAGGACTTCAGGTTGTTTTAGAGAGATTTATAATTATTAGTTTTTCTAGTAGGACCAGTTAACTGCGAAAAAGACCTATGTGAGTCGAGGATAGGATAGAATGCTATCCTTCGCACAGGTCATTATGGTTTCACCTGCCTCATGTTCTCAACTCATTATCAATGTGGGTAAACTCCTCAACTCACTGTCAACTGGGTAACTTCTCCTGATTCTGCTCACTTGATGGCACCGCTATCTACAGGAACTCTGAGCTGCAGCTTGCCCCGTCTCTTATATATGTCAAGCACATAAGTTGCTGTGTTAGGTGTTTTGGGCTGAAAAAGGCAGGAGTTGCCAACACTTTAAACTTAAGAATTACTCCTATTTTGTCCTCAGATGCCTACAAGTCAGAGCCATAAGGCACTAAAACATCTGGATGAAACAAAAAACTCAGCAAAAATATTGGATTAAAATATTTTCTTTCACTGACTGCTTTTGAAAAGTTTCAGCTAAATGTGTGTGCTGTGTTGCAAAAGTTTGTTGAATTTAAATTAGTACTGGGTCAACAAACCACTTACTATGAAGACAATTTCCTTTTTGCACATAAGTTTGAGTTACTTAGGAGAAAAAACAAGATCAACATTTCTGAATCAAATGTGATTAGAAGAGCTAGAGTTTAAATGTGAAGTTCTGGGAATATTTTATTCAATTTATCTCTATTTATATATAAGAATATATTAAAATTTATTTCCAGAAAAGTCTTAGAGAGCTGTTTCTTAAGTGTGAATTCCTATAATAAGAAAGCTATATGTAATTGTTTAATTGGCAGCCTCTTTTCTTTAATAGCGCATACAGTTTATGGCATCTTTTATTTATAAAATATGGTGATACTAAGTACTTCATAGCATTGTTATGAGGGACTAAATAAGTTAATACATAAAATAATTTAGAGTAGGGCCTAGCATTTAATAAATGCAAAATAAGTACTACAAGCATTATAATCAACCAAAGAACAATGGCATTATCTTTGAATTATTATTAATGACATTTTCTTTATTAATAATGACAAGGCTTTAATTATGATATGATTTTACAAGTGCTATTCTGGCTGTTGGGATGAAGCCATTCTTTTCTACTTACATTATAGTCACATTTGCAGAAACTGATGGAACCGCTCGTAAATTGGTCTCATCACAGTCAATCTCTAAACCTCGGCAAAAACATTGCATGGGCACAGAACCGACCACTGAATGATGAGGAAGTGTAAGGAATGGGGACAGTGAGGGACCGGGAAGGAAGAAGAGGGTAGTGAAGAGAAAGAAATGAAAGCTATGAGAAAATTACTTAGTACAAAAGTATGTCATGTTTTCCCTAAGCAATTTGGGCAATGCTTTAAATTAAGGTTCCGAAATTAACTTTTAACTTAATGTTCAAATGATGATAGGACATTAAGATAAGGAAACATACACATTTATCTGTACATGCATTATAAAAAAATATGAGACTGCTCTTCTCCATGTGTTGCAAAAGGAATCAAGTCATCGGCTCTCACTCATCCTAGGAGAGTACCTGTGTCCCAGGGTGACATGATCTTGTATGATAGGCTCTAATGCCCATATGAAAGCTGCTACTTAAGAATAAAGTATTTGTTAATAGCATAATCAAGCCTTTAATGGGTGAATAAGTCATTTTTAACTAGTGAAAAAGAGAGGAACTAAACATTAAGCTATAGTACTGGTAGCACTATTTTTTCCTGGAAAATTCAGAAGTTCTTTGAAGGAGTTTTTAGGATCTTTTGGCTTATGTAGGGATGTAAGGGTCTAAAACTTCATCTGTGGAGGTAAACTTTTTTACGCATACCTATTCTATTCTTACTCTTCAGAGTTAGAAAAAGGGAGAATTGGATATATATGCCTTTGGCCATCTTGTTGGGCTGTAGTGAGTCTTAAGTATGGGATCCAATATTTCTAAAGTCTGTTAGAGACTTGCAATGCTGTGTTCATATACCTAAACAGTAAAATGAGATTATTATTCAGTATAAGTATAGTTTGATTCTTGCCTTTACAGGGAATGGTTGATTACTGAGACCAATGAGGAGAGTTTCCCCTCTACACTTACTCTGAAAACCTGAACTGTATAGCAGAGGTCACAGACTCAAATGTCTACAGGGCACTGGCAAAGTGAGTGTAGACTGCATCTAGATGTCCCAGGAAAATAGCTTCTCCTAACAGCCATATTCGGATAAGAACATGGGTAACCAAGTCAACCAACTTCCTCAAAGCTAGAAATGAAATGTTTTATATGTAATTACCTATTTTAAAAATTATAGTAGCCAACTGAAAAGATTTTCAAACACCATTGGACAAACAAAACTATCTGTAAGGATTTCCTGCTAGCAGGCTTCCAGTTTTTGACCTTTATAGTAAAGCTTCCAGAGAGTAGAAAAATGTCTTAATGGCAAAGCAGAGATTTCTGTGACAAAGCTGGTGAATGAGCACAGCTGGCTACAGCCTTTGAAATATTAAAGTGTTTCTCTGCTCTGACATGGGGTGATGGGTGTTCTTCCTCTCCTCCCAAATCACTCGGCAGATTCCTCTACAGCATTACAAGATCAAGATAATAATTTAGGTTCTGCATATTTTGTAAACAGAGTCTCTGCCAAGAACTTTAAAACAGTTTTATGGTTGTAAGTAAGCATTTTGGCTATGGTCTCTGAAAACAGGCTCTGTCTTGTTAAGTTACAACCTGTCTATCATGAGTGTGGTGGGAAAGAAAGCAGAAGAGGTCCAGGGAGTGACCGTAAGAAGGGCAGAAATGGAAGGTAGGGAATCAGCATTAATGCCAGTGTACATTTTCTATTTATATAGACTGAGTTAAGATAATTCACAAATGTTGATTACAAGATTACCTGTAACAGGGAAAAATGAAAAGAAAAATCACACCTAAGTATCTAGCAACAAAAGAACGGTTAAACAAATGATGTCAGTTAAAATATATAGGATATTTAAAGAGTTTATAATAACATGGACACCTGATTATGCTAAAATGCTAAATGAAAATATATTAAAAATGGTTTCTATTGGAAATTTCAACCATGTTGAAAAAGATGAGCTATGTATCAGCAAGTTAAGGCTGGTAGCTTCTGAGTGGTGAAATCATGGTTGGGTAAGCAATGCTTTCCAAATCTCTCAAAAAGCCTTTATTCATATATTGCTTAGTGAGATGTATTTTCCATGATATTATTCTTGTGAGGTGACTTTATAAGGGTGAATTCCTCACATTCTTTCATTCAGCTGAAAATTATTATAAATCACTCTCAATTTAATTCCCAATAAATTGTTATAATAGTCTCATTTAAATAAAGTTGTACAATAGGAACCTTAATTTAAGTTTCACCTCTGAATTTTACACTGCAATTTCCATTCCACTTTTATACTGCTTTTAAGCTTAACAAAGACATTTAACAGTTATTTACCACTGATCTCTGAACTGTCTTAAAAGAACTCTAATTGAAAATTATGTATTTGTCCTTTACTAAGAATTAATTTAAAAATTTGCATTTTTGGATACATCATTTATTGTGTAGTTCCATTCTACTTATGGAATTATACTTAGGATGCATTTCTCCCAGAGTTTAGGATGAGGCAAAATTTGTCTTGCTGACTTGATCTGTTTTTCCTGTATATGTTTGTTTTTGCTTTACAAACCAAATTATGAAAGTTATATAACCCATTATTCTCCCTCTTTGATCTAATGACTACAAAATTCAGAACTAAGTCTGGAACCCAATTACTGAACTTTTATCAGTGAGGTTTTCCTTACATAATTTTTCTTTTTCATTCTGTTTCCTGTTCATTCACCATTGAATTTTTGTCTTTTGTGTCATGTTAATGGCTTAAGTATATTAACAGCCATATTTTTATTGTAAACTGCTTAAAATCCTTTTGGAAGTAAAGTGAGATATAAAAAGATTCAACTAAAATTTAAGAAATGAAAGGATATGCAATAAAGCAAAAAGAAAATAAAAACTGTGTTCTGACATACTATGGCAGACACTCCATTAAGTGTCTGCATTAAATTAGCAGTTAAATTATACCTGTTAACTTTTTTCTTTCCCAAAATCTTTTAGCTTTTTAATCACCAAGTAATTCATTTCCCATATTCTGACTGTGAGATGCCTTGATGCTGAGACACATTGCTGAGTAAACTGTGGGATTTACTTAATTTTTATTAATCTCATTTGCAAAGTGAAGACAAAAAAAATATTAAAACTTAAAAATATCCTATGCTTTATAATTTTTGGTAGAATATAAAAGAAAAATTATAGTAAAGGATTCTTCCTCCTAACTCCTATTTTTTAACCAAGGTTTTGAAAAGCTAGGATCAAAATTATAACTTTAAAGCATACATTTACATTTGAATAATTTATTAAAATAGACAATATTTTTTAACAAGGAATTATTTACACAGATTTCCCAGATCTAAACTACTACAAAGTAAATCCTCTAGTTTGTATTCTCCCACGTCCTCTCCGGTATCTTTGTAAATTTTCAATTATTACTAAACAACAGGTTATAATTAATAAAGCTTTTTTGTAGCTTTAAAGTGTAAGTTAGACTACAGAAGCTTTTTTCCTTGCAAACATTAAAATCCAGACAGCTTCTCTACCCTTTTCTTTTCATAGTTTTCCTCTGTATGAGTTGATAGTGAGTTCAAAGGAGGACGTAAAATAGCACCTTTGACTGACATAATTTTTATTGACAATACCAAGCATGATTATTTCTTTTACACTTAAGATCTCTGACAATTTTTAAATAAAATTCTCAAATTGAGGCTGCATGTCTGATATAGCTTGCAACTAAAAAAACTATAATTAACTTATTAAAAATTTTAGTATGTTGGATCTTTCAAAAACATGGTGTCTTATTATGAACTCATGGAAAAGGAGGCTCAACCCCCTCTGATACTTACAGCATGCAGATGCTTTTGCCTCAGAGGGATATGCAGAAGTCACTTTATAGTGGCTGATAAAATATTTGTCAAATTGCGAAGACCATCCATTGTTGTCTCCTGAAAAAAATCAGAGAGCAGAAGAGTTCAAGGAAACAGAAACATTCTTGTGGGCTAGGGAAAATGAGTCTCTTTAAAATAAATGACTGATTCTCAAACATAGCAAGATAAATGTTATCTGTGAGGTTTTTAACAAATTTGAATTCCTTGGTCCAGTACCTAAAGATCCCGATTTCATAGGTATCAGATGGGTCCCCTAGTCGCCATCTTTAACAGGCAGTATAGTTGATTGCTTCTTTGGCAGGAGGTATTTGCACCAGTCTTTAAGAAACAGTATTTTAGGTGTACTGAAACACAGCACACAGTTCCTAGCATATTATTTATGGCATACTCAATCATCTTCAAGCATTTAAACTGATGTTGGAAATGTATTAACATGGATAGATAGTCATCACTGTTAAATAAAAAAAATAAACAAATAACATGACCAGCATGATCTCATTTTTTTTTTAAAAGGCACTATGGCATCATGGATGTTTATCCTCTGAGTGCTTATGTATTTTATCATTTATATTTCCTGGTTTTAATATTAAACTCCTGTCATTAAAAAAAACAAAGATAGTAAAAGTCATTATTTGGTGGGTGAAAGAAAATGATATTTCTCATAAGATTCTTTAAAACTTTTTAGTTATTTTTAAACATAAACAATGAAGCCAATCATGCAATAGAATAGATTAGGCAATGGGGATGTAGGAGCAACTTCTGGAGATTGTGTGGATGGTACAAGCCTTCATCCTACAGGGAGAGTTTGAATGTGACCCTTTCCAACACGTTCTAAATATTTTTAGAATGCTGTCAGGACTTTTTAAGGATACACAAACATATGAATAGATGACAGAAATATTAAAAGTTTATCTTATTCTTATAAGTTAGTATTAAGTCTAGCATTGATTTTTACAGATTATTTCTGCCATGTATGTATAATTCAAATTTGAGACTTGAGTCCAGATAGTACCACTTTGTTCAGTTGCATGGATTTGGTAATTTTTCCTTTTGGTAAAATATAATATATAATTATATATACATATATTTTCATGGTTTTAAGTCCATCAGAGGAATTCCAAATTATATCTCCAGCCTGCAATTTTTCTACTGTGTAACATGCACTTGGTCTGTTATAGTCACCTCAAATTCAATAGTTTTAAAATGGAACTCATTACATTTTCCTGTACAATCTTGCTTTCCTCCTAAAGTCTCCTCAATCTACCAAACTGCTCAAAACAGAAAGGTTAAGGTTTTTGAAATATGTTCATATCTGACTAAATATAACTTGGATGATTTCCCTCCTCTAAGTTCTTCTTTTTTCACTGCTCATTAACTCCTCTATGAAGATTACATTTGGGAAAGGAAAGGTATTCTAACATAAATGTTATATATACTTGTAAAATTAGACTTCCTTTATTTAAAGTTCCACCGAAAGTGAAAAATTGGAAAAGGGATAGATTATAATTGTATTTATAATATTCTCCTTTCTTTAGCATTCCTCATTAGTTCTAAAATTTGTCTATTACAGAAGATCTCAAAATAAACAAAAGTAGCAAAGTAGTATATGATAGTTCAGAGTGAGATGACTAATGGACCTTGTTTACCAACTGCAGACTTCAGCCCTGGACTCCAACTGGGCACCAGTAACTAGGAAGCCAAGAAATGACATCCCAGAAACAGCAAATACCAGCCATTGAGAGCTCAGGAACCAGTCCAAGGTGCCTCCCCAGCCCCGACATCATGAGGATGACATCTTAGGCAGAGAAAAAGCAAGGGGAGGAAATTTGAAAGACTGACCTTGTTATGGCCCAAAAGAGACTTTAACTTCTTGAGGCTGTGGTGGATTTTTAGTTCTCCCTTTGGTTTAGAATCCTTTCTTATTTAGATGTTGGTAGTTTACATCTATGTTTTGCAGCCCCCAAGCAGCTAGGGTTCTTGTTACAGGTAAGTTTCTACCAATTGGATGCACTCATATGGGATCGGACGTTTGTAGACACCACCCCTGTGGGTCTCCAGGGGAAGCTGGGTGGTCACTGCAGCCAGTCTCAGGGATCCAGCTTCATGGGTGAACAGATGATTAGCAGAGGTAGTGGAGGCAGCAGCAGGTGGTTCTGGATCTTGGGCTTGAACTATGGTGGCTTGTTCTCATTGCAGACCCCTGCTTCTACAGCCTTTACAATGATTTTATAGACACATGCCCCGTATGAAATCTCTTTTTTCTTAAGCCCCTCAAATCTGGAATGGTTCTTGTTTCCTTCATCCAGAGGGCATTACAGAGAACAGGCTCAAGGATAAGCATTATTGGACTGATTATCTGACCTGGTTGGTTTTGAAGATAGGGGCAATCTTGTTACCATCAGAAAATTGGATTCTCAGAGTTTATGGCACCCAGTCTCAGAGTTTATGGCACCCAGTCACGAAAGAGTTACTTACAGCTTCCCGGGATGATATGCCCCTTAGACGCCTAGCCCCTGACAAAGTGGTTGCTATGATAAATCATTACAATGAAAATGGGAAATTTCAAGGGTTGTGGAATGAGATCCTGAGGGGGATGCCCTGGAGAGACTAAAGAAAGGAAATGACAAGCTGAGTGTTTGACATATCAATTCAAAAATTTCCAGAGAACCGGAGAGTTTCCATGACTACCCTAAGGTAATCTCTTATCTCTTTGGTTGTCAGGACTGATAGAACCTCAAATCAGATAGAATTTTAGCCAGTGGGTTGCCAAGGTTAAAATATAAGCTCAATTCATGTTTTGTCATATCTTTTAAGTGAACATTAGGACACTGATTTGGAAAGTGGGGGATCCTGGGAATTGTAATGGGACATTTGAGAGTGCTGAGTTGAGTCCAAGACCCTGAAACCCCAGCCCACTGAACCTCTCTCTCTCCAGCAGAAGCTGCTCCCTTCACCATCCCATGAGGATAGTCCTAGTTCGCTGGAGCCATGTTAGTTACTTTACGCGTTGTAAATAACTTGCCAACTCTCTTTAGACCCTTTCAAGACCATACTGCTTTGCCTCTCAACCTGACTAGAGTCAGAGCCCAGAATGCCCCAGAAGGCAAGTATTAGAAAGAGAAGATTGACATACCAAAATATTTTGCTATTTGTATAGCCGGAACCCAGAATCTGTGTGAGAATGGCTTCCAACAGTACTGGACCAGAGAGAAAGGACTATAATTTTAGGCAAAGCTAATTAATATGGGTTTCTGGATTCAGTGTGCTGGCTCAAGCAGAAGTTTGCTAGATTGCTGACAGAAATCCAGACTCAAGGCTTGAAGTAGTGGCTAAATGAAGTTGTGAGGCAAATGCATATAGATTTTGAGTCAGCAAAGGGGGGTAGATCATGAGCCACCGTGGCCATTGTATTGCAGAGCTGCCCTGTACCCATAGTGCCCGGGAGACGGACTCACTCAACCTCCATTAAACTCGCCCACGGTTGGTGTGTTCCTGTGGAGCAGAGACTGAAAAGCTGACATTTCACATCTCTTTCATAGCCAGGATTTGGGGTGCACTCACACATATTTTGGTTGGGAGAAGAGAGGTAGAGATCATTTTCCTGCTCCTGTGTCTGAAACAGAGACGTCGTGTTAAAAGGCAGTAGTGGCAGCGGCAGGGCAATTTGGGTATTACCAGCTCTGCGCGTGTCAAGGGAACAGTTGCGCCTCTAGCAGGGGACGCAGATCACCTGCGGTGGTGACAGCAGCTGCCTCAGCCTCAGGACTGCGGCTGTGCCGCTGCGCTCCCCACTTAGCAGCACTTAAACCCTGGGAGGCTGATTTAATTGTTGGATTAAAATGTGGTTTACATATGATTGGCTATTTAATTAATTTTGGGAGCTCGCTGGAATCTCATGAGTGAGAATAGAGCAGCACATTTTTTTTTCTGAACCCGGGAGCTTCGGTGTAGGTCAGTTTTGTAGTCTCACTACAGGAATGTTGGTGGCACTGCTCAGCGTTTCCCTGCACCTCCCATGTGGGTTCTGGGGGTGGGGTCAGCAGCCTGACAGTGTGTCCTACCCTTCTGGGCTCCAAATTATATATACATATATATATAAAGGAAACACAGCTATTTTTTTCCCTGGCTGTCAGGTTTTGAAGTTTTGAAGACATTGGATTGCCCTCCTTTCCAGGTTTGGCTGAGTTTGTGGACTTTTTGGCAAGTTTTTACTTTTGAAAACTTGGTTTATATCTTTACATGTATCTTCAGATGTAAGAAAGGAGATTTCTGTGAGAGATTTTTAATTCCCCCATTTTAGCAGAGAAATTAAACATTAACACTTAGTCCTGAGAGAACTAATATTCACTTAAAAATTTTTATTGAAGTATAGTTTACTTACAGTATTTTATTGATTGCAGGTGTTAGACATGGTGATTCAACAATGATACACTTTGTGAAATGCCCACCCCACAGGGTGTAGTTACCCTCTGTCACCGTACAAGTTATTACAATATTTTTGACTATATTCCCTATGCTGTACTTTTCATTCCTGTGACTCATTTGTTTTATAAATGAAAGTTTGTCCCTCTCTGTGCTCTTCACCTATTCCACCCATCCCTCTCTTCCTCCCCCATGGCAAAACAGTTTGAGAACTAGTATTTAGCAAGTACCTAACATACTGTTAAGTACATTGTTTTATCCTCCTAATAATTCTATTTGGTTATTACTGTCATCTCTACTTACAGATGGAAACACTGAAGTTTAAGTGATTTGACTAAAAAACAGAAGCAGAGCTACTGACAATAAGTAAAGGGTTAAAATAAAAAGTTATTTTAATATTTTCTTTTCTAGGCCAAAGAAAAATTTCATCAGTTTATATAGTCTACCTGCAGAATTCTGACTTTGTGTTACATTGGCTTTAAATATTTAGCTATTACTATTTATTACCTATTTTTCAGCTGTATGTTTCATTTCCATTATTGAGGTTCTTACATCAGAACAGTGTGAATTATACAAAAATTCACTTAAGTAACAACCAGAAGTAGTTGCTAAGTGGAATTTAAGCCCCACCATTA